ACTACTACTACTACTACTACCTCCTGCTACCTACTACTACCTTGCTGCTGCTACTACTACTGCTACTACTACTACTACTACTACAAACTACGTACTACTTACAATGTACTACGTACTGCGTACTAGTACTACGTACTACGTACGATTACTACTACTACTACTACTACTACTACTACTACTACTTCTACTACTACGTACTACGTACTACTTACAATGTACTACTACTTCTACTTCTTCTTCTACTACTACTCCTCCTGCTGCTGCTGCTGCTGCTGCTACTACTACTACTACTACTAGCACCTGCACTGCTACTGCGACTACAACTGTACATTCACTATATTTCGCTATACTGGCTACATGCATGCTTTCGATTCCTCCTTGGCTTACACTGCGTCAAATCCCATAGCACCAGAAGCCACCGGCAGTCACAGGATCGGGAGCAGCTTGTTCTGCCGCTGATCGGACTCTACTACCGTGTGGCTGCCGCGGAGAGACGTGCCTGGGTAGACCCTTTTGCCGGGTTCACAAAATCTTCCGCAATACCTTGCAGTGGCATTGCAACTCTAAGGGTTCATTCAAGCCATGGAGCAAGTTCGGACAAGGCAGGCGAGGCGCCCCTCTTTCCTGGTTGGCAAGGTGGCGTTGACAGCAACGAGGGGACCGGGATCCTGTACGGCATGATGCAGCGAAAAAGGGAAGCGATTTTCCCTCGAACTTTTACTCACATCTCCTTGGAGAACGGTGTTGAGGCACGCCAGCCCTCGCAAGCCTGCACCAGCGCAAAACTTTATAAGTCTGGTGTCAGGTCAAGAAGAAGAAAGTTCTTTTCGGTGATTTATTGGAGCGTGTTGACATTCATTTAGCTCACTTGGATAATGTGCCTTGGCAGCAACGGCAGACTGTTGCCTAGCCCCAACCGGGGCAGGGAGGATTTTCCGGGCCCATGATTTGGGCCCGGGCAAAATGGAGGATGCCGGAGCAGGGCATTGCGAGGTCAAGGCGCAGCGCCTCGCGCTCGCACGAAAGCCCCGTAACGGAGCTGCCCACAGAGTGAGAAGCGGCTGACAAGGATCGCGGATCAAAGCTAGGGCCAGGGTCTCGACACTTGAGAGTTGATTGCAGCGACCGAGGAAATGCTTCTTGACTTCGTCCGTCATCCCACGAGCTCGTCGTCGATGTCTCCGTCGATGCGCAGAGGATATGTAAGCCCAGGCGGTTCTTGGACCGCGCTTAGCATGTCATCACAGTCACAAGCCGGACTTGCCCGATCAAGCACGAACAAGAGGACCAAAGCTAAGCCTTCCTGCGCATGTTGAAACTTTAATCTTTGGCGCGATCTCCAGGCAATCCGCAAGGGACTGGATCGATGTCGATCTCCGCCCTTGCCGAGCGCATTGAGCGGACCAGGGGTCTGAGTGATATGTCTGCGGACGACAACTCCGCCGACTTTCGAGAGTACCAGGCTGGTGACCGGTGCAGTCGGGGATAGAACCTATAGTTTTGAGCTGCTTCTTGAGCTTCCAAGTGGCTGCCCATTTTAGGAGACTCTAACAGCCAGCAAGGTGGCCGTCAGAGCGGGAGGCCATAGCTCGGGATTCCGTGATGGCTCCTGTCAGGCCCAGTCGAAGAGCGAGCTGGTCATAACGAGAATGTAACGTATTGGAGGCCAGGGCCACATTGAAACAAGTTGTCGTGAATGGGAATAGTCGGAGCTAGCTGGTGTCGGTGGGTAAGGAATTTGAATTTTGGGATCTATTGGACAACTCGGGGATGTCTCTGGGCGTCAGGCCTCCCTTAAGTTTGGATGCTGGGCACTCAGGATTGAAGCGGTGCACAGCGAGTGCGGCTCAATTCCGAGTTAGTCTTGCCTGCAATTTCACCTCATGTGTTGCGTGTGCACCACCTATTGCAGACAATCGCAAGATCTCGAAAGGTGCGAAGTGATGCATGCAGCGAATTAACGTCTGTAGCGAGCTACCATTCAGTTTCCTTCCTCAGTGACTGTGCGTGGGCTTTCTGTGCCTGCACAAAGTTCAAAGTTGCATCAAAACTCGCAGCCTTCAGTAGTGTTTTGTGCACAAACTCTCCGACTCGCAGTGGTAACCTATGCATGCCTCCAGCGACCAATCTTGTTGGGTTTCCTGTCGAGATTCCGGCATGTTTCACAATGCCTGCGCATGAGAACTGCATTCTTCTACTTGGCTTAATTCTGCAAGGTAAAGATCTGTCACGGCACAAGACTTGAATCAAATCGAGCGTTAAGAAGCGTTGTCGCGCTGCATTTCCGGAAACTGAAAGGGAGCTGTTTTCCAGCTGGATCAAGCCACTGACGCTGCAGCGAAGAACCCCAAGACAAACACCTGCTAGTATGCCTTTCGCTGCAGATTTGATTTAGTTAAGCTTGATCCGGCCATTCTCAGCACTCACGGCTTTCCAGAAGGACAGACCAATAACGTTTCAGAAGACGCTAGACTGGCCAAAGGATGCCACATGTAACCACCGGCTTAACGACCGGCGTCCGATACTTTTCTGCCTGAAAGCGGAGCTTCGGGGGAATCTTCGAGAGTAGACAGGCCCTGGCATGCCAGAGCTGCCAGCACAGCATCTCTTCCTTCGCTTTAAAGTGGCTCGAAGACTCAGACTGTATTCCTTCGTCCTTTGCTTCTTTCCAAGATGTAACATGGCACAGAAGAGATGCGGGTACCTCCCTTTTTGGGGGGAGTCAGAGGACTATGTCGCAACAGTCAGCTGCCAGTGGTGTCGGCAGAAGCCGCATGCACTTCAGTAACTTTTTCGACATCATGAAAAAATGTTTGCCAGGGTTGTTGACAGCAACTGCAATATCTCGGGATGTACGACATGGGCTATCCATGGCTAGCCTTAGACGCCAGCTACGCTAGGTTTCCTTGGCCCTCCGCCTGGTCCTCAAGCTCTGGAGGCCGACCTCACGTGCCCCCGCAAGCTGTAGGCTTTCCGGGTTTCCCTTTCGGAAGGGAGATAATTTCCGGCCTCCGCCATGATGCTTCTCTGACTTGAGCACGTGCAGCTTTGGCTCTTGCTGCCCAAGACGGACAACCAGTGGCCACCACGGAGCTTGATGGCCCGTAGAGCTTTCGTATCCACTGAATCGTGGAAGCATCACGAAAGCTATGTGAGCAGGTACTTGCGAAACATCAGCAAGTCACTGGTCGCTGCAGGCATCACCGTACCAGCCTTATTCATTGCATAGATGTGCAGCATGGCTTTCCACGTGGATCTCTTCCAGAACGAAGCCTGCTGAAGTGGAAACCAGTAAATCTTCTGCGCTTGTAGACTGTAGTGCCCAAGACACCCCTCATGTCCACTCGATATCAGGATCCTCCAGAGGTCTGAGAAGGAGGCAGCTCCAGAGGCCTCGACTGCTTCGGCTGCCCTCCGCTACAAGTAGATTCCTGAGCAATCGCGGCCGTCGATGCCTGCGGTTTTCAATGGGCAAGTCGATGCGCTGCCCATGGTAGAGGCCAACCGAGGTCACAAGCTGCATTGAAAATGCTCTCTCTTCGCCTCTCTAGGCGGCCGCCGACTTCAAATGTTTAATCATGCAAGATCACTTCGAGTTTTCGCTCAGAAAGCTGAGCCTGCGAGCCTTCAAACAGCGAGGCATGCGTCTGCAGTTTCAAAGTCCGCTCGGTTTGAGATTCCCGCGAAGTCGCAGGCTGCTGCTTTGTTTTGCCGTTGCACCACACCAAGCCTGTTTGAGGTGGACGAAGAGCAGGTCCGCCATGCCATGGCAGATCCAGAAATCCAACAGATCCTGCATGCCAGCGGCCCAGATTCTTGTGGTGATGCCGTCTGTGTGCAGACGTCATGATATGAAGATAGTTTCATGAATCCGTGCCGTTGTGACAGGACCCTCAGATCAATATGTTCTTGAAGGAAATGCAGAACAACCCGCAAGAAGCGCAGAAGCAGATGATGTCGGACGGCACGGCGTGTGAAGCTTCATTTGCTCCGTCCACGGAACCACTGTGAGACTATCGCACTATGATCTCCCTTGCGTTGCATGGCCATGCCGTACTACGAGAGACCTGCGTGAGGACCCCAAGCTCCAAGAAGCGGTGTCCAAGCTCATAGCAGCGGGCATCATCCGCACCGGCTAGGCGAAATTCTTTCGAATTTCTCCTTTTCCGAGAACCGCCAATCCTCTTCAGATGCAGTTTCGGGCCAGCTAGGAGAGGACAAGGAGAGGGTGGGTGAGCGAGGATGGAAACCGTTGCAGGAGTCTGGTGTGTAGGGGGCACGTTGAGTCTGCCCAATCGTGTAGAGCAAGCAACTTTCAAAGGTCAACCTCGCTGCACTTCCAACTTTGCCAGGGCCTCGCATCGTTCCATGGCGCCACCGCGAGCCTCCCTGACAACGCTAATTTCGTTTGTCGTTCATGTCATGCTCTCAACTGCTCGGTTCGAAAGCTGCACATCGGCATAGTTAGACACAAAGGGTTGCACATTTATCCAGTTTGAGCAATACTAACAATGCAGATCTGACTCTTCTACTGGCATGCTGATTCAAGACCACGAGAGCATGGCGCGAAGATCTTGAACATGCAGAATTCCAGCTCGTGATGTAGTCTGCGCACGTTTTCTGGACATTGTTGTGTTGGCTTGTGCACTTGAGCTACAGTATTGCATTCAGTGAAGAGCACCCTGGAATCGGCTACATCACACGTATTCAGTCGGTTTCCTTAGTAGGGCGAGTCATCCGTGTGCCTACCAAGCCTGAAGGTTTTTGCGAGGCAACTCCAGAAATTGAGTTTGAAGGAGACGACATCCAAGGTCAGTAAATGGCAAATTGGCAGGCACACCCCTCACGCATCAAAGCCAGTCGTACAGTCTTTGTGATCATGGCTCTCCCGCAGTGAAGCCGCAGTGGCGGCTGATCTAAGTTTTGCTGAGCCCAGCACCTCAGCGGGGCTGGGTTGTTGCTTGATGGTGCAGCTTGGAAGTGTTCTCGTATCATGGACTCCTTTCCTTCAACTTGTGGTTCGACTTCTCGTGTGCAAATTGTTTGGTCCATGCCTCACGAAAAACCTCAGCGGCTTTTCGACGGGCTTTTGAAGTTGAAAGACCAGAGACCACCAGTCTTGTTCGTGCACGACAGTGCCGACACAAAAGAGACGTGGAAATGCAATGACTTCTTATGGGTAGCAGATAGGCCAAGGTTTGGAGCGGTTTCTCATTCTCACGAAGGCATGACCGGTCACGGTTGCATCTACAGATGTGAAGAATCTGTATTGGCTCAGCTGCATGGGGCGAGCCGACGCGGGCTGCGGAAGCCATGTTACGCTTCAAGGCCACATGACATTTCTGTGCTGACCATCATCATGGCAAACAGGCCACAGGTACAAGGTCAGATCTGGCCAACGCGGTGGAGAAAGTCCGAGTCTGTTGGGGGGGGGGGGTGTTCACCGCAAGAGTCGGTCGATCGTCCACACGTGGATACGGAGTGTGCGTTTTCCTGCCGCAACCCAACAGCCTACAGGCTCTACGTAAAGTGCTCCCCCGTGAAGTACAGGAGATCGAAGCTGTGCTGGCAAAAGCGCTAACTGAGCCTTGGCGCAGCCTGATATTCAGCAACATGGCATAGAACGGACCTTTGGCACAGGACATGCTGAGGAGTGCATAGCATTCAGCACAGTTCCACTCAGAAGCAGTGTCACAACAGCTTTGCTGCCGGCACTTCTAGATGCATCCCAGAAGCCCTGCTTGGTGCAGCCTGCAAGCGACGATTCAGCAATCCACTCAGGATGGTGTAGCGCTGCTTGGCAAGGCATTCCGTACACCTTCGCAGGTACAGTATGTTTGAGCGATATTGAGAGCGTGTGTTCTGGAAAGACATCAGAGGAACATCATGATCACTGACGAGGGTGGTGGCGTCATTGCATCTGCCAGACCCAAGCAGGCCCAAGGGATCCGCTTAGCAGCCCCGCAAAAAGAGCCACAACAATGATTGACCTGGTGAGGTCGAGAGCTCTGGAGTGGCGGTGATCTCAAGTGCCGCTCCAGCTTGACAAGTTGTCGCTTCTGCGCCGGGAAAGGGCACGTCCCTCATGGTCGAATACCATGCCTCCAAGGCCGTTGGTGAATTCAAACTGGCTGCCGAGTACATCTCTCCAGACATGGCCCCTACCTTTGAGGATACCGATTGTAGTGGGACCAGCTCTGTCAGCAGAACCGGTGCTGTCACCTCCTGATCTAACCTTCAGACTGCCAAAGTAATCACCATCAAACTGTGAGGATGCCTTGTTTACGTGCGACAATGCGATGGTGGCTTGCACAACGTTCCTGTGTCCAGGCTGCTGTTGTTTGACGCCCTACCGGTCGGAAGCAAATGAACTCCCGTTGGAAATGTCTCTGCTTGGAGCTGGAATTTTGAGGTTCTCATGTAATCTGGAGACATTCAATCAAAGCCTCGCGTGGTGAGGCTTTGCTCTGCTGTGCTAAACTGCTGAGTCTCGTTAGGTTGCCTCTGATCTGATCTCTTCTGCATCACCGTCATGATCGTCATTGCCAGTATTCACAGTCGTCATTGTCGTCGTCGCGTCGTCGTTGTCACCAGAACCGCCATCAGCGGTCCTCGCGACGTGCCCTATCATTTATTCTGACCGATCTCGTCCTCGAAGTGCTCACCATTGTCCTCAGAAGCAGTCGGTCGTCATTATGTCCTGCCGGCCTTGCACTGTTTCGAACTCAGCAGGACAGATTGTCAGACTGTCAGTGTGAGCGATCAACTGAGGATGCCCCCTCCGACTGAGAACCGGACGGCCCCAGTCCTGCTGGTCGTTCCTGGGCTTCACATTTGTGTGGCCGATGTTGGGGACAGATGTTCAGGGTGAGGAGGAGGAAGAAGCTTCAGCTTTAGACCAAGAGCTCCAAGGTCTCAAGTGCCATGTGCTTTGCAAACTCAACGGAAACCCGTCTTGGATCTTTTCACAGTCTCTAAATGGCCAGCACAAGGCAGTAAAGGAAAAGGCTAGAAAGCCCACCCTGAAATTTCCGATTGCCCCGGTCAGGGCAGGGGTGACTTGTCCAGAGATATCCGGTTCTTCGGTATCACAACCAAGGTTTGGAGCGAATCCCAGCACAATCCGGCCTTGCTGTTCTCCAGGCTAGAGATTCTGAAGCATCTTGGCAAAACGGGGGCCTCAACCGAGAGTGCCACAGATGTGTGCTTCAGGAAGTACTAATAGCGAACCGTTTTGATGTAAAGCTGTCTCTGCAACAAACTCGAAGGCAAAGAGCAAAGGCTCAATGCCAAGATTCGCCTTGCTGCATGTTGTGTAGTCTTTCAACTTTCAACCGGCACCATCCTAAGATCACTGTGTCCGGGCACAGACATCTTCAGCATCTTGGGACCGAGGCAAGAGCTTGAGTGCATCAAGCCCATTCTGGCGCACTCTTGTGGAAAGCCGTACTGATGCCTCTTGTGGTCCAGGTGCGGCGAGCACCCTTCCTGTCGGTCTATCTACTAAGCTATATGTTATATGTCTATGTAGCTCTCCAACGTACACATATGCACGTTTTCATCCATCCATCCATGTATGCATATACACATATACAGAGCTATGCAATGCCTTGATCCATGCACGCACGTATAATCTATCATTGACTCGGTGTTTACTTGTGTAAACAGAACACGAGCATCGTGAATGGCTCATTAGTGGCACCATGGAAGTGCCACACAACGGCATCTTGAAATCACAAACCTATACTGCGAATCGAAACTCCTTTTGCCACAGCTGTGAAAATGACTCAAAACTTCAGGCTACCAGTAAAGTAAAGACCATGCCGGCCGAAAGAAATTGGCCCGTTCAAGTGCACGTTCGTTGATACGGCTGGACGCATCATTGCTGTGCCAAGCTGCGCCGCGTAAAACGAGCGAGTCATTGCAAGGGACCGCACTGCATGTGCAAAAGGAGCACCAGAGCTGCTTATCGGGACTTGCGGCCTTCTTGCTGCTTTGAAGTTGACTCGAGAGAATGGATTCAATTTGGGTTGTGTAGCGGCATAGCAGTCCCGCTCTCAGCAAGCACAGCCTGCAGAAATGCTGCCGGAAAGCATGATACTTGTCACACTTCCGCAATCTGCGGTCGACCCAAGCACCTGCAGCCATGCAAAGCGGTGGTACGAAAGAGACCAGCAGGACGGATATGCCACTCATTGCCACTTCTGTCAGAGGAGAGTCGTTTTTCTGCGCCGCTGTGCGCACTTTATGATCGCCGGAAGGCTCCTCATCACCTTTGCCCGAAAGGGCAGATGGGAGGGCGACGCAGGCATGAAGCAGCTCCTCGCAGAGGCGATGCCAGCACTTGAGTAGAAAACTCCTGCTCAGATGTTTTGTTGCAGGCTGTCAAAATGCACATCGATCTAGACTATTCTGAGAAGCCATACTTCCGGTCTGAGCCTCGCCTCCCGCAAGCCGTCACTCACAACATGCAGTGCTTCACCGTGCTTCTCAGTCATGACTTCTTTCTGAGCAGCACTGAGGTCCGCCTTGTGGGAGGCAACATGGAGAAATCACGAGGTGCTTGTTTGAGCAGGAGGGAAGAGAAACTTTACACGTTTTGCAAAGGAAGGTGCCTTTAGGGAGGTACGGGGGTGAGGGCGCTGGAGTGGGTAGGGGCGTAGGAGGGTGGGACTCGCGGGGACAGCTGTAGTGGCTTGAACATTGAATCAGGTTGCAGCTCTTGTAGCTTCGCAGAGCCGTTTAGCAACGTGCGCCACAGTCGACGAGAAGAAATGTTCGGAGCACCCTCTCTCTAGAGCCTCTTTACATGCCCTTCACAAACTCGCGAGCCTTGGGGCCTCTGCGCCTGAAGGGCCGTTAGAGCGGTTTTGACATTTCTGACGGACTGCCGGCTGCTATGCATTCGATCAGCCTGCGCACCGGAGTTTTTCAGTCCAAGAGCCCTTGAGATCCAGACTGGCTGAAAGTCTGGAAGTGGTGCTTCGCTGGTGCGCCTAGCCAGGTCATTGTCAAGGCCTTGGTGGAGAAAGGGGCCACTATCGATTTCAAGGACCCCGAAAGATCCGATCCTACATCTACAAAGGCCAAATGCCTTCAGTAACATCCCACCCTTCGCCAGAGAGGACTACCAGGAGCGGACGCCACTACACGAGGTCGGGGACGGAGACCGTGTTGGCCAGACTGTAGTAGCCCGAAGACGAAGAGAGACGCGAGAGAGAGAGAGAGAGAGAGGCAACCCCAAAACGGGGGCACCGACAGACGCGAACCGTTGTGGGGTTGGCCTTCGGGCCGGGGGTCTAGGCCCCAGACCCCTCAAGCAAGAGAGGCGGCCTACTACGGCCACTTGAACCTGGTGGAGTACTTCATCGAGAAGTCTGGCCGACGTGCTTGCTGCCGTGTTGATCCACCAACGCAGGCATGTGTTCACAATCGGCCGACTGCGGCTGAAAGGGTATCTTCCCACCCGCTGACTTCCTGCAAGACGAGGGTCGGAAGCCAGGGGCGCTCCTATCAACGTCCTAGACAAGTTCGGACAAACCCCCTTGTTCAGAGCTGCCGGGCATCCCAGCGGACAAGGGCACTTTCGTTCTGACACTGCTATGCTCTGCAGACGCGAAGTATCATCTGCATTCCGCCCGTGCCCCTGCCCAAGGTGGACGGCGGCCGGCATGAAGTTGCAAAGTTCTTGGTTGAAAAGAAGGCCGAGACCAATTGGCTGGCCGAGCACTCAGAAGCTCTACGGCCCCAGTAGAGCTGACAGCTTCTTTGCGAAGCAGGCGGAACCGTATGCAGTTTGCCGGATTTGTGTCAAAACCGGACACCACCCAATTATGCCCAAAGCCCTCAAGACTCCACCACAAGTCGTGCACATCCTGTCAGATACATATAGCATCACAGTAACAATTATGACAATAACAACAAAACCGGCAACCAGCACCTACACCAGACCCTGCGATGTTCGTCTTCTTTCAATCTGGTCATGATCTGCTTACAGGATCAAGAGACTTAGTACTTAGGCTTTTGAATTGTTATGACTCATATTGCAATGCCAATATCATGTGCTGCCTGGAAGTAGCCTCGCGCTGCTTCTTGCACCATGGGGAAATCGGAGATGAAACAGTTTTTGCAGGGAGGAAGAAGAGCCGACGCTCCATTCGGAGCTTCATTTCTGGTCGCAACCTGTCAAACAGATAGCCGATCATGCGAAACTTGTGGCATTACGGGAGCTACTGGTAGCTTCTCAAGAAGCTTGCCAGGCCTGAATGCCAGATCTCTGCTGGCACTAAGTAAGCCGTAGCACAAGGAGCTGTGTTCGCAAGGAGTTTCGCGGAAAGCACCGCAGAGTCAGAGCGGCTATAAAAAGTGGCAAAGGCGCTCAATGTTTGGGTGTGATGATCGCTGTGCAGCATGCGGACTGCCTGCGACTCAAAGGACAATGACCAGTGCTCCGTGCAGCACTGTGCAGCATTTCAAGGCCGCATCGCTGTGAGAAGCTGGGCAGCTGGACCTGACATGCTGTCTTGGCTGAGTTCCATCTGCTGAAAGGTTTCCCTCAGCTTTCTAGCTGGTTGGTCTACAAAGGAGCATGGAGGCCGGGACGGCAGCATCTCGTCAGCCACATAGAAGAGGCGGGTAATCACTGCCATATTTCTGGAAGAAGGGTTTTGGCAATAATCTGCCGGCACTTGTGCTGCGACGCACGTGACGGGAAAGCGTGCCTCACGTCATGACACGCGGCGCAGAAGGGAGAGATAAGGAAGATGAGGCGGGGCACGGGCAGGTAAGTTGGGTGTCAATACATCCAAGTGACTTAGTCTGGCTGGTGTCTTGTTTGACCGGGGTACCGCGCGTCTCGTGCGCCGTCACTACAAGGGTGGATCGGGCAGCTCGCCTGAGTGCGGCACAGGGACTGCTTGCGCCCATGTCCAAAGCAATGCAAAGCAAAGGCAGAGGGAGACGGGCGGGATGAGTACGGCACTGCCAGTGCCTTTTGCCCCAAGAGAAATGAAGTGTGCTGGAGAGGGTTTGTCAAAGAGGCAGCCAAACAGCAGGGAGGAAGTTCAACGTATGATCCTAGTTGCAGCTTAGCTGCTTAAGTATGCTGTGCTGCGAACCCTTCTACTGCCCTCGGCCAAGTTGCACCAACAGTTCTTTTCCGGCTGGCAGACCTCGAAAACCAAAATGTCCCGAGAACCCACCGCTTCTCGTCCTGTTTCATATATTTGCTTCTTATCGCCTGGTGCCGACGTGTTTAGCCAGACAAACATGGCAAGTCTTTGTCAAGGCCCCTCAGAGGTGAGTTTGGGGTCGTAAGTGGAGTCAGCAGAAGCGCGAGCGCCGCGAGCGAGAAGCTGAAGGAGATCGGTGCGCGGAGGGCCCGGGAGAAGCGGAAGAAGAGCGAAGCCGACGAAGCTTCAGCAATGTGGCATATGGTAGCCACCTGGTAGTCTGTCAACTCTACCAACTGCAGGAATCGCTTTGCCATCGAAGGGGTGGATGAGGCCCGTTGAGAGCGGCTTCCTCTCAAAGCATGCAACAGTCGGAGCTTTCAGCTCTTGAGTCCCGAGCCCTCGGCATCTGCTCGGGAGCATCAGCCAAAACCAGCTAGACCGCACCTGGGAAAAGGCCGAGATGCGCTTCACGGCTCCGGCCTGAGGCACCTCAAGTACTCAGAGGCTCAAAGCTGCTCCAGCCTCTGGCAGGACTCTCACAGGACTCTAGCATCTTTAGGACATGCCTTCCCGCAAGACCTGAATTTTCTGAGGGCCCCGGGGATGGCGAGCGCTCAGAGGAGCGTCAGAGGCGCCAGCAGGGAGTTGAGGGCCATTGCGGCTTGCGGGCCTTGCGCTTCGGACTTCAAGAACAGAGCTCCGTCAACAGCAACGTGCAAGCATGTGCCGTTGGGGCAGGGGTCGTAGACGCGTTTCCCTTTCTGCCCATATCGGCTGCATGGCAATGCGCACGGTGCTATTGGAGTCCACGGTGTGCAGCGCCAACAGGGCAGTTTACATGACCTGCTCGCGATCGCCAGATTCTAGTTGCCTTCACACCTGCCGCAAGGACCGACGCAGCCCTCGATGAGAAAGAATAGGCACCCAGAAGCAGTCTTCCAGTGTTGGCAGCATATCAACACCGTTAGACAACTTTGCATCGAGTTGGCGAAGTTCGGATGTGCACAAGAGACAGTTGCAGGTCGAACTCCATCATCGGATGCCTCGAGCGCACCGACCGGCATTGTTTCACTCAGATGTCTTACAGCGACACATCCGCAAGATACGTTGGAAATACTGTAGGCGTTGAACACAGTCTGCTACAAACTACAGGCGGCTGTAAGATAGCTCAGTAGCTCTGCAAACTGCGGAGTAGGCAACTCGGGCTCGGGATTGCTGTGGGACGGTAACGTTCCCGGCCGCCCTAAAATTAGTTTAGAGTGTGGGGCAGGAGGCTGCTGATTTCTTCACATCTGGTCCCCTAAAGTCATGATGCGCTCTCTGCTTCCCTAGCGATGCCGATTGCTGGTGAACTGAGCCACATTGGCGTCATAAGAGATGCGAAAAGGAGCGGATCCTGTCTGGCGGTTACGTTAGCTTCGCGAGCCGCGTCGAGCTAGGCAAGACCCCATGTGTGTGGGTGTGTGTGTCTCTGTGTGTGTGTGTGTGTCCAAACCTGTTTCGAAGGCTCTGTTTGTGCACCAGTGAGTCAGCCATACAGCAGGGGGTGCCGGGGCATTGATGAGACCGACACGAACAAAGGCGCTCATCAGATGCTTGTGAAGCAGCGGGGGATGCTCCGCTGTGTACCTGCTATTTGTGACATCATCCATCGTTAAAGCTGTGCATTGTTTCCGCATTGACATCATTGCTGTGCATTGGTGATTACAGAGCATGTCTGTTGTGATATGCACGTTAGGTCACTCCTACATGGCAGCTTGAGCTGCTGAGTACTTGTAAGGGTTGATTTGCAGTGATGCGCATGTGTTCTTGGCTGGGTCAATTTCGTTCACTGAACTTCTTCGTGCTGCGTGTCCGACTGCAGATATATTATGTGCGTGTGAGGCTTTAGGTCTGAGGCTGGACTTTGAGTGATATACTTGACTTTCAAGACCGATTTGAGGAATGTGTGTGTCTGTGTGTGTGCGTGCGCTCAAGTGTGTGCTTGGTAGCCGGTAGCCGGTAGCTTTGTTCTTTTGGCGGCCCGAGACTCAAACATGACATCCCACGGTCGAAGGAGTAATATATCCATCGCCCAAGACTCCAAGACTCACGCATCAGTTCCAAGCCGAAAGGAGGCTGTTAGATGCGAGATGGCTCAGGTGACGAGGCCAGGAGCCAGGATCTTTTGTGCTTGCTGAGGGCTTTCGAAGCCTTTCGTTTCTCCAAGGCCGAGCGAGGCATGGCGGCCTCCAAGGCCTCCCGGCCCTCCCGCCACCCTGGCTGGACCGCCACAGACGCTACGAGCTCCATGTGCATGTCCTCCATCTACGGTGCGCCCGCGACCTCCGCCTCCGCCTGGCACCGTGCGGCCAGCACTCCCTTCAAGGAGCCGGTGGCAGCGCTGACCTGCATGGCAGCTAAGCGCACAACACAGCAAGGATGTCCTCAGGCACTCACATTCTCACAAAATCTCACGAGCAGGTCCAGCTCTGCTTTTTCCTCACTTTGAGGACCACAGTTTCAAAGACCCGGGCCTCAAATCTGCGGCAAGCTGGCACGACCACCATGAAGTGGTGCGCTTGTTGATCTGAGCTATGGCAATTCAGGGCTCGGAAGGTAATTCAAGGCATTGCGCCGGACCCCACATCCAGCACCCGGTAGGTATGCTGGCCGTGACAAGCATCCAAGTGCAGGGTACACCTGTCCGGAGCCTGGAGTTTGGTGCCAAAGCAGTTTCAACGAAGGATACGCTTTTCGCATCTTGTCTTCGAATGGCCCTGCACCAAGTTGACGCCCAGAACCTCAGCGAGGAGGAGCGCCTGGAAAAGCAGCTGCAGCTCGAGGCCTCCGGCTGGCGGAGAGAATGCATGGCGTTTTTGATGGAAGGAGCAAGCTGAGGGCTCAGCCGTGCAGGCCGAGTGCAACGGCGTGGAGTCTGGCGGCTATGTGGCCGCAGAGGCTGTGGCGGTAAAGCATGCGGACGTCGAAAGGGAGGCGGCCGACTGCAGGCTCTCAATGAGCATCCTAGTGCTCTTCCAGGCTTTGATCGCAGGCCATGGCTCCCAGGCAATTCTACTCCTCCCAGCTGCAATACCCGCAGGCTCTGGTCCGCAGACCCCTTCTATGCTTGGAGAACTCAGGAGGCCATCAGTGAAATTGCGAGTGAAGCTTTGAGGCCTTAATGCTCCGCCGTGGAAGCCGAGAACGTCCCAACTTGCGTCGAAGCGCAGTGCTGGATTGGACCGTTCTGACAAACGCAACCTGTCAGGAGTTGCGCGAAGAGTCCGTAACGCCCGGTTCTCGGCAAAGCACGACTGCCTGTTTCCTCAAGCCAAACTCCCTTCAGAGGTCCATGCCCATGAGAGAAAGCATGGGGCCTGTGCCCCACGTCCTGCGGGATGATTGCCGGCCTGGCCGCCAGGATGGGAAAGCAGAGCACGTAGAGTACTCCTCTGTGAGTGTTTGCAAGACCCCCAGAGCGGAAATTCGTTGCAAAGTCTCTTTGAGGAGGCAGCACAGCATTCTCCCCCGATAGAGCCGCCGAAGGAGCTGGCCCAGGCCCGCTCGGAGCGATACTCAAAGTGCTAGGGCTGCCAGGGAAATTCAGATTTCACAAAGAGAAATGCGCTCAAAGCTGCAGAATCCTCAGCACAGTGCACTCCTCAGGAGCCAGCTTCCTGGGTGCATTGGCCCCTTGGCCGCGAACACGTGCGTATGCCGCACATTCCATGTCATTCCATGTACTTCCATTGCAGCGAGGTTCCAGGCCAGGGAAGCCACCGCCTACGGCCCCAAAGCCTCAACCTCGGCCATCGGCACCGCTGCCTAGCTCCGCATCCATGGCGCCGCGTTGGGACAAAGAGAAGGCACTGGATGTGGAAAACTGCGACAGTCATGGAACCTGAAACATCTGAAACCTTCCAGAGGTCGCCATGCCTGTACCCCCGGCTCCTGTGGCCCAGACACCGCTTCTTTGGCCTTCATAAATGCAAAGTCGCAGAGTCCTAGGATGCCCTGGTCTCACAGCCAAGGCTTCTGCCGGAGCCGTCGCCTGCGGAGCTGCGCGAGCGTTTGGAACCCGTGTCAGGGCTGCAACGCCTGAGCCCACACCTCTCGGAGAGATGCCGTTTCCATCGAGCTGAGGAGCTCGTTGCCGCTGGCCTCTCCTGGGACGAGGCCAACATCATACGGTTCTCCCCGCTTGGCTTGAGACTGCATCCGTCTATGCGTAACAGAAGGTAGACGAGCACCTCTGGTCAGAGACCGGGCTGCAGCCAAGCCAGTTGAGAAAGCTGCCGAATGTACTCCACTTCAGCTTCATGTTCCTCTGCATGATGTGTACTTGCACGGTTGGCAAACATGCAGAACTTTGAACAGACTGACCCTCTTGTTTGAATTTCTGTATTTGGATGTGCACGTGATGTGCAACTCGCATGCGTCCCATCAAAGATGTCGGAAGCAGCTGCAGTGTAGTTAGCACCAGTATCGCAGTACTTCGGCTGGTGCGTGAGCGATCTTGACACGTCGAGCGGAATTGTTGCATGGAATCGCTGTTCAAGTCGAAACCGCAGCTGCATTTGCTGAAGCACGCTGCGGGAGCTCCAAGGAGCTGCGCTCTGTTGGAGAGCTTCGGCCCGGACACTCGGAAGACCTCGGAAGTTCTGTGCTGGCCCCTAGGAGCTGTAGAGCATGGATGCTTTGCAAAGCTTGTTCGGAGCGTTCTTCGACATTTCGGAACTGCCACCAGCACAAGGCGAGCCGCAGCATACCCCCACACCTTCCCTCGATGCTTGTCTGCAGAATCAGCCCAGCAACACGATGGGAGCGCTTGGCGCAGTTGGGAATCAGGACGCTTGGCTGCTTTGTGCGCTCCGCTGGGACGTCGAATGGCTGCTGCCGAGGCCCTTTTTTCACAGCAGTCCTGCGAACCAAGCTTACACTGCGCCCGGCCATGTTTGTGGTCAAAAGAAATTCCTGAACAAGCAAACCTTGTTGCACGAAAACATACTTGCTGTTAGAGGCAAAACAGTTTGGACCATGTCCCGAAGCCCTTTTTTGTCCAGTAGGACGTGATCCACAGCTTTTTGTGTAGCTGTCAGCTGGCAAGCCTGAGTGGGTCCGCAGCCTATTTTTTACGGTCAAAGCTCACGGGCAGCAGCCCCCCCCTCCTCCTCAAACAAAGGTCGGTAAAACAATCAAACGAGCGGTTTTTGACGAATGCCCATGTTCTGGTAAAGTGAATATGAGACAGACTGTTGCCAAACAAGGGCTTCTGGACAGACTCTTTCCAAGCAAGGTTTGGACCGGACGGAGCTCCAGCTTGGGTCAGTGGAAGGTGTTGAAATCAGTCCCCTCGTCGATTTGATTTTAGAAACTGATTGCTGTTGGTCAGAGTAAGAGTGTTCTGCATCGTGGCCTGCACACTTCAGTCCGGTGATGGCAAGAAACAGTGACCCCGTGATGCTGATGATGCTGGGTCCAGCGGCAGCTCTGGATAGGAAGAACGGCCGACGCTGAGTTTCCAGTTGCCACGATTGCCCAGGACCGCTCAACCCGACCAATGCTGTACCACTGAAAGATCCTACGCCTGTTCAAGACAATGCTACAAGATGCGAATTGTGCCTGCAGAATCCTGTAGACGTAGCTCCCCCTGGGTTGAGACAAGCCAATGATGCCTTCGATTCCTTTGATGCTGGGTCGCACGACAATGCGAGCACATCCCGAGTGCGCCTCCCACGCCGCCCATTCCAGTCATGCTGCTAATTTAGAGGCCGTTGTGCCGGCATGTGCCGGCAGCCGCTTGCACGCGGTGCCGGGGAGATCTCCTCCGTCTGGGATCCCGCTCGGAGATGAGAGAGCAGTCACCTAAAATCTTCTTGCCCCTGCAGGTGCGGAGCTTCCTCGAGCCTGAGCTTCTGGGCAGAGCCGTGGTAACTCCAAGACTTCCGTAAGTGCGTCTCTGTGCACGTTCAACGTCGCGGCTTGCTGGCTTTTCTGGCCAGACCACAACTGGTTGCACATTTCCAAGGTTAGCCAAGCACTCCATCAGCTGGGAGGCTGGGCGGCTGGTGCAGCTGGTGCTGAAGCTGTCTCCAGGTCTCTGTGTTATCATGTCATGCTGGAAGCAGAGACGTCGACAAGCCGGTCGTCAGAATGCAAGGAAACCGCAAGAGGGCGTCGGAAACATGAGTGGGTCCATGAGACCAGACGCGCTGTGTTCATGTAATCATATGTGGCACTCCGGCGGCAGCTGCAGCAGCAGTTTGCAAATTCGTGTGACACTTTCGTCATGGCAGGGTGGTGTAGTCGGTTTCCTGTGAAACATGGCATAGCATCAAGCAATTGAGATTGGAACTTGTGAGCGCACGACCTGAAGACAACTGACCATTCCTAGCATCGCTATTAGTAGTCCGATTCAACAGCTCTGAGCTTCTAGGACTTCGTTGGTGGTGCACAGCCGCCACTGGATGACATCAGCCCCGTGCGCAGCCCGGAGAAACAAAGCCATTACCTTATCGGTTCGCAGTAGGGTTGAGTCCGTCATCGCGTGACTTGCACTGCTTCCTCCTTTTTATTGTTGGGACATGAGCATCATGTGCATTGAACTAAGGGGTCTTTGTCTGCGATGTATGTCAAACAACCTCAAGATAAAGGTACAAAGCTATGTTTCCGCGAAACATTCGCGATCAGTCCGCGAAGGTAAACAACCTCAGCACATGTTTTTTTATAAGAGAGTTGGAGCATGTAAGACAAGACTTGTAAAGAAAAATGCCGGCCTCTTCGTCACTCTGTGGCCCGGGAAGGAGCAAGAGCAGGCCAAGCCAAACTTGTGAGCACGTCTTGCCTAAGACAGATACGATGGCAAAATCGCCCTCAGCGTGAGAGTGTGCCAGTTTTGGGGAAATCGCAGGTTTCGCCGATTGTGAGTGCGAAAGTCTCGCGACAGGAAGTTTTTTTCTCTGCGAAGAAAAAGTAGGAATATGCAAAAAACCTTTGGCCAAATCAAGGACGTCTCAATCAACAGCAGTTGATTACAACTTCTGCCCGTACGTGGGTTGAGCGTCCCCAACACATATCAAGACCACCACAGAGGCCTTTTCGTTGGGATGTTACCTTGTGTGGGAATACAGCCCCCCTTATGACTCAGATGGAGTCACCACAGAGACACACACACACACACACGCACACGCACACGCACACGCACACACACACACACACAGAGACTTATAGACACAGACACAGCCTGAATGACTTTCCAGCAAACTACCCGTAGCACCTTTGTGCTGAGGCGGACCTCGAAGGCTGTCCACGGCAGCCAGACGTCCTCGTTGAACGCTTAGCCCTGCAGTGCAATCGGGTTCCAAGCCTGAGCAAAGAGCACCAGATGTATCCGAAGCTTCCGAAGCATCCCAAGGCTCGGCGGGTCGCCGCGGCTCTGCGGCCTCACGAACCCGCAGAGGCAAGCGAGCATGGTTGAAAGAAACACATCCAAAAATGGCTGCGAAGTAGTATTGTTTCTGCCTATTGATTCAAGGCTCCACAGCCAAGCCTGAGCCTGGTGGATCCACAAGAGGCCGCAAGCCAAAGCATGCCGCAGCATTTGACGTTGCCCGGCCTCATGCTCAGGCCCCCTACGTAGCCTCGAGCTTGCCTCCTGCGGAGCCTGCACCGGTGCTGGACATTGGCGAACGAGACGTCGATCGACAAGGTGGGCTGGGAACGGAGCAATGACCAGAGCGGAGCGGCGGGAAGAAAGAGACAGGACAGGCCGGTTGTCTGCAGGACCTCAAGACTTGCCGGACAAAGCGCCGGCGAACAGGAGCGGCTGTGGTACAGCTGTTAGTGAGTACTGCAACGAAGTGCAGGATCAGTTCCAAAGAAGGACTGCCAAGTGAGGACGGGACATAGAGACAGCGATGCTTTCTTCCTGGAGGCTAGCACGGCGGTTCTGATGCGTTTGCAATTTTTTGTCGAGCAGGAGGCGCAAAGGTCAAAAAAGGATAAGCGGCGGGACAAAAAGGACAAGAAGGCCGGGCGTGGGTGGCATGTCGTTGCAAGCAACTTCAGAGTATGTTCAGTACAGATTGTGCTCTCAACCTCTGCGTGTTCTGCGAAGTGTAGGCAGTCAACGAGTCAACCTTGGTGTCAGGACAAAAAGGGCAAAGGCGAAGATGGCTGTGTTGCCATGTGAAATGAACAGCGGTGTAGCATAGTCTTAGTCATTCTTAGTCCTTTCAGGAGCAATCCTGGTCCTGACAGAACTGACAGGTAAGCCACGGTCACCTGATTCGAAATAGTTGCACGCCCCGGGAGAGTTCCGTGACAAGTAGAAATTCAAGCTGAGAGTTACTCGCGGCGAGGAGTTTGATGTCAAGGAAGCTGAATTTAGCCACAATCTCGCAGCCGTGAAGTAGCTCAAGCCGGGCTCGGGAGAAATGCCGCTCGGGCTCAAGTACAACACTCTCTCCAGGACCCCATAAAAGTCCATCAAGTCTGCTTCCTGGCAAGACACGAACCCAGAGTGTCCTTGGAGGAGTAGCCCATGCATCGTGGCTGCGCACAGCAGCAGCCTCGACATTGTGGCATTCTGGTTAAAGTCGGGGACGGGCTGACGCTACTGAGACATCAGTTTCCGATAACAGAGTTCAGCGGCTGAAGAGGCCTTCGAATTCATGTTTCTCTTCACTTCACTGCGTTCCGTCTGCGCGAAAACACCGAAAGTAGCTTAAAGTGGATGGCCTACTCATGTATAGGCAAAGGGCATATAGGGCATAGGCTAGGTGGGAGCTGCCACACCGCACAGCTTCAGCTGCTTATCGTTTCGTCTTTGTTGGCTGAGATCTCCGCGATTGGAGTCTGAAGTCCATGCCTCGGACGTCGGAGCAGGGCGGTCACCAAGAGCGCAAGCTGCACGTTGGAGTACTGAGTATTCTTATGACTTGTGACTCATGATCCAAGCAGCCGCTTCGTTTGTCTCGTGTGCGAGTGTTGGGTGCTATCTGATGTGCTATCATCGCGCTGTCTTTTGCAGAGTTTAGAGACGACTGTTTGGGCTGCCCCTGCCCCGACCACGACCAATTGCGACCCTCTGGTCCTCAGTCGTCGGCGCTTGGTTCCTGAGCAGACCGCCAGCTCACCGGTGCCTCGGCGGCCTTTCGCCCACTTTCGATGTTCATGCACAAATCGCAACGAGACGAGTCAGCTGAGGACTTCTCACACCTGGACCGCATTGACCTCATCGGAGGAAATGGCAGGCGAGATGCCCGTTTCGTGCGTGAAGAAGCTGATCGACCGAAAGTGCCGAGCGATGATGCTTCTGCTAAGGTGGCGCCAGATACGCGCAGAAGAGGAGTTTGCACGGCGAGCAGTAGAAGAAGAGAAGCAGCCCGACTCCACATTCTATGGGTAGTGTTTGGCACTGTGGCAGCGCCTCGTTCATAGCGCCAGGTCTAGGGGCCTAGCGAGTCAGGAGTGAATCCGACACCAGACCTCAACTTTTACTCAAGGCGTCTCCGAGCGCAGCAGGAGGAAGAGGAGAAGAGGCAAATTGCTGCAGAAGTCTTGGAAAGCCTGCTCCGAGATGTGCAACGTACAAAAGCCGCGGTTTCCTTGTAGAAAGACGCACAGAGGGAGAAAGTGGGTGTTTCCAGCTCAGCCCCTGCAGGCGCCAGCGGAAGCTCGCCCTTCAGGCGAAGCGACGCCGTCTCCAGGAAGAGGCAGAGAGGGCACGGCAGAGGGGCCCGGGCCCGCTGGGCCCGCCGGGCCCGCGGCTCTGCAGCGAATCTGGCTCTCATCTGCGGTCCAGGAAGAGAGGAGACGGAAAGAAGAGCGTGAACGCCAACGTTGGGTGCTCAGCCTGCCGTCTCCAGTGCAGGGGAGGGGAGGTGCGATCTGCGAGCAGCTCCCGACCCGTGAAGCGCTGAGATCAAGAGACGGTCCGGATCGAGGAGCTAAAAAGGATCGAGGAGGAGCGTGAGAGGCCCGAGCGTCCCTGTAGAAGACTATCTTTAGTTTCGTGCTGACCGAGAGTGATTGTGCCAGTGCTCAGTCTCCCAGCCTGCCAAACAGGCATCGCAAAGAGCAGGAGGACAGCCAGTGCCATCAACACAGTCTACATGACATGTCAGAACTTATGCGTAGTCTTATCATGGCATGGCAGCCGTGATTACTTCGCATGAAGCTACACAGAAAGAAAGAGCCTAGCCCAGATCTGATTAGACAGCCTTGGAACAGACAGGGGCCTCGGGCAGCTGGAATGGCTAGTGCACAGCAGCACGCTGTTCGAGTGCTTTATCAACTGTATGTATCAGGAGAAGGATTGGCTGGCCAGGCAGCCCAAACCATGCCAGGTTTGCTCAGGCACCTGGACTTGCAATCGCATCATGTCATAACTAGACCTACAGGGATACACTTCCTGGGTCAGGCACCGGGAAATGCATACAATGCGTGGGCATCGGCCACAATCCGGTGCTGTACCTGGCGGCCTGAAGCCAAGCCTACCTTTCTACACATGTCGATCTCAAAGCTTTTGACCTGGGTACAGGCTAATGTGAACGGGAAAAACACGAAGGGAGACTATGGCAGGCGACTACAAGGCCGTTGAATCTGCAAAGTTGTTGTTGGACTTGCGACAGACGGCAATGGTTCAAAACTCGCAAGGTGCGCAGTAGTCAAGCTTGGGGGTGCATCACTACTCGCGTATTAAACATGATGCAGCACCTGCTGCCGAGAATTCTTGTTTCGCTTTCTGATCGCTGGGAGGCTGTGATGGCTGCTTCGGATTCAAGCAGAACATGATGGCTGATCTGAAAAAGGGCACTGGTCGTTGTCCAAGCTGCGATGGTGCGGTCCCTAATACTGGACGCTTCGTCGCAGACGTCGTCTTGTGCGGTTGATTGGTTGGACATCCGTGCGCATTGCAGAAGCCTCTCCCAGCCTCTGAGTTTTCTTGTTGTCGATCTTTGACTGTGCAGGTCAGTCACCACTGTTCAAGATCATGCGTCGAACAAACTAGCGCAGCACAATGCTAGTAAAAGTGGTTTGCACAGGTTTCGCTAAGAGCACGCAGAACGTCGGAATTCTTGACTGTTATTCATAGAAATTTTGAGAGAGAAGCGTCATTCAGCAAATGCGGGCCGAAGTCCGCAAAAACAGTCAGCAAACAGGCAGCTGAGAGTCAGAATCCGGAGGGCTTCATGTCGCAAACAGCGGGCGCGAAAGTCAAAGACAGGACAGCACAAATTCAGCAAAAAGCAGAGCTCGCAAATGCAAACCACGTCCCTAAACCCTAAAACCCAAGTAGGCCTTGGGGTGTTAGGAGCTGAAGGCTGAAGCCGGAACCGTTTTTGGGCTTTGAGGGGTTTTGCAGGCTTGGAGATTTAGGCTTTAGGGTTTTAGGTAGGGTTTAGGGTTTAAGGTTTAAGGTTTAGGGCTTTAGGGATAGCAGTATAAGCTTTGCTTTAGGATTTAAGGCTGTAGGGCTTTGGGGTGGTATTTAGGATTCGGCCGTCCCGGACTCCCGGACTTTTTGGCGTGTGCAGGAGGTTTCGAAGGCTCCGGGTCTAGGGCCGTAACGTTGGGATCCCCAACGTAATCCCACACAAGGGAGGGTGTTTATGGTTACTCCAGCGGCCTCACTACCCCATCCACCAAACCTCGACAACCCGCTGAGCCTACTAGAGTTTGTAAACTGGAAACCTAGAGATTCTTCACCCCGAGGCCCAACAAAAAATGGGAACGGAACCCTGCCACCTAACTCCTGAATCCAGATGAACTGAAACCCTACACCCTAAACATCCCTAAACCCTACACCCTGCAACCCCTAAACTCCAACCTTTCCACCCCTTAAACCTTCGACCCTAGACCCTGCGCCATATACACCCTAAACCCCATAATAAACCACTGAACCTTAAACTCCCTCAAACCCCCTAAACCCTAAACCCCTAAACCCTAAACTTCCTGAAATCCCCTAAAATGCCGGTCAGCTTTCTCATGGCGTTTGCTGTTTGGGCCTGCGGTGCCTCCGATACGGGCTGCGGTGTTTGCTGAACTCTCCTCCGCGGCTTTGGACTTCCATCCGTGCTGTTTACCGACTTTGCCCCCCTTGTTTTAGACTTTTTTTGCTGACACCGGCCCTCCCCGAAATTTTGACGGGGCTCGGCCAAAACACGGCGAGGTCTCTTGCCAGAATACCCGAAATACCCCAGGGAGACGCTGGAAGACCCATGAAATTCCCGGCCAACTTTGTGGTTGGAAAACACTGAGTTCGCCATTTCTTAGTCTCTTCCTCCGCTCTTTTCTCTGTTTTAGATAACTCGCTTTACCATGCACACTGGGCAGTCGGAAGGGGTTCACTTGAGAGTTTTTTCAAATTATCCAAGAGTCTACTTTGCCGCAAGTAGCCGGAGTGCGAAGTACAAGAGTCACGGACGTTCGAGAGTTCAAATTAATAACCTTGGCCAGCAGAAGCTGTTGACTTTCTTCTCAGTGGCCTCATTTTTTCCAAATGCAAGCTGTTTTTGAAGTGTTTGCCCGGTTTGGCCCTTTCTAACAAGATGACTACATCCCCACGTTTTGACCCCACCATGTTAAACTTTTCCTGGGTTACCCCGGAAGACTGCTATCCCCAGGCTGGGGCAAGATCAGACCAGACATAGACCTTACCTCGCCGACCGTCGTCGCCTCGGAGGGAAGATTTTCCCAGCGGTGTCATACAGCTCGAGATCATGACTGAGGGCCGAACGAAAAGGAACAGCGTCTGTGCTGCGCCAACCGGACCGGAGCTTATTTGTAGATGAATACGTGTGAGCTTTGCTGCCGTCGACATCCTGACAGCGCCATCAAAATTCCGGTCCGATGCGAGGCTTTTTCTCTATCGGCTGAGACAAGAATCTCACTCGAACCATGCAGCCAGCCGTGCATCAACGCACCGTCTTCTGTTGGTTCCGCACACAAATGTAGTGGTCCTTTGTAGTAGCTTGACAGGCTTATTTTGTGTAATCAGGGCAATTTGCAAAGCGAGGCCTTGTGATTCAAGAAGCTCCAAGAATGCAGACTCGGAAGCCCAAAGGGCCGTTTCACCGATGGAGCAGCCAGGTTGTGGCCCATGAAACTGGACCCGAACCATTGCTGACAGCGAAGGGCAGCTCCTGGAAATGGTACTGCTTGCGAACTGCTCAAGTTTAGATGCTGCACCATCCATGTCTGCACATGTAATTAAGTTGTTGATGCATCAGGCTTTGATAGGGATGTCGGGCAACTCCGTCATGCAGGACCGCCGTAGACGGCCCAAGCAATGTAGCCCCCACGGCATCAGGGCAATTGCAGAGGTCATCGATGCGATGAGAAGAGTTCACGGCGCCCTGCATGCGGTAGTTTGCAGATGGGAGACGAGGATCCAACAAAGATATCGAAAATCAAAAGCAAGCAGCGCATTGTAGCGACAGTGCCAGCCACATGTAACCATAAACTGAGAGGCTTGCGTAGCTAGTGCAACGTCTTCTTGTGCAAGTAGCAGGCAGCAGCGGGAGCTATGCTTCTTCCCGGTCCCGCTCATGTTGCCCGTCCCGTGCCCGTGATCTTACGAAGGCTGGTCCCAGAACAGCCGGGATTTTGATCATGTGGCTTCTCCCGTGACGCAATGGATGGTTCACGATGGTTCGTTCACCAACATATTAGTGTGCCAATGTGTTAGAGGCGGCTCAAGCAAAGCCAGCCTACTGCATAGGAGTGGTCAGGGGAAGAGACAGCCAGCATCTTGAGTGACACGTGCACGATTATGCGCAGTGCAATGTAGCAAGCATCTTATCAGAGTCAAGCTCAACCCTTCAAGCCTTGTGTACTTAACGGACATTGAGTGTGACAGTGATTCTCCTTCGAACATGGCTTACTCCGGGTCGCACGACCTCGCACTGCTGCGAAAAGTTGTCGTCGAGGTGGTTGAGAAGGTCGGTCTTACCTGGGCCTTACAGTCTGCGGGAGCTGGCAACGACACGGACGACTAAAACATACTAAAACCAACTTGTTCCAAAGTAGTAGATGCAAGACTCTCTGCTGTAGTAGTGTAGAGCAGTTGCACGCAGTTTCTTGCGGTTGCGTGCCACACTAGTTGCATATACGAGTCTTCACTACAGCTGTCCTCTGCGGGATGTATCCTTGTCTTGCACTTTCGTTGGACCGTCTGACGTTCCTCTCACGAGGCCTGCCACCTTACGTCGAAGATCCAGAAGAATATTCTGCACGAGGAGGTCCTGAAAAAGGAAGACTTCTCACCAGCTCCTTGACTCGACAGAAAGGTTGAGCCAACTCAGCCCGGGTGCAGCCACATGACATGGCTACGACAGCCTAGCTAAGCAGAAGGTGTGGCGGTTTCGCCACTGCAGGTGAACTTGAACACTAAACTTGGCATTCGCGCTATATAAGTTGGTGGGCTGATGTGCCCGGCGGTGCCCAGAATCGACAGGTCACCATTGCAGATTTTGCTTCCCAAGCTCTCGTCGGGCACATCCTTCATCAAGCCTTTCCGCATATCCCCATGGTTGGCGAGGAGGAGCGACTGGCAGAGCTTGTTTTTGCAATGTCTCGTAGTGCCTGCAATTCGAGGACGCCTCGGCTCTTCGTGCCGACCCGAAGCTAGCGACAAAGGCGAGTCACACGTCACGGTTCCTAGCGGCCCTAGCGGCTTTAAAGAAGTTCGACACTGAAGTCTGCAGAGGGTCATTCGATACTACAGACTTGGAAGAGTGATCTAAGAGCGAAGTGTCTGTGACGTATCTGTACAGAGATACAGCACAAGAAAGTCGTGCAAGCCTGACCTTTGAAGGTGTCAGACCATGTGAAAGAGTTCATTGCAGACATCTCCTTGGAAGAGGTCCTTGGTGCCCTTGACCGTGGAAATCATCCAGGGGGTGAAGGTACCTTTTGGGTATTGGATCCCATTGATGGCACAAAGGGCTTCTTGAGGAAGGAGCAGTTTGCAGTTTGTCTGTGCCTTATAGAGAACGGTCAAGTCCTAGTGGCAGCTTTGGGCTGCCCTAACCTTCCAATAGACTCAGCCTTGCCAGACGGTGAGAAGGGCTGCGTGTTCATTGGGGTTAAGGGCAAAGGAGCGTCCCAGATGAACATTTCCACCAAAAAGGAGTTCCCCATCTGCGTGTCCAGTAGCTCGGACGCGTCGAAGGCGACGTATGTGGAATCGCTTGAGTCCGGGCACTCCAGCCACGGACGTCACGCCGAAATTGCCAGTGCTCTTGGGATGGGCGCACCTCTTCGCATGGACAGCCAGTGCAAGTTTGGCGTGGTCGCCAGAGGGCAGGCGAGTCTTTATCTGCGCATTTCGAAGACACCGCAGTACATTTGGGACATTGCTGCTGGCGCGATGATTGTCGAAGAGGCAGGTGGCCGTGTGACGGACTTGACCGGCCGGGCCCTACAGTTCTCCCTCGGAAGGACGGTGGGAGTGGCAGCTCTCTTTGTCAGCAACGGTCTAATCCACGACCAGGTCTTAGCCGCCTGCGCACCGGCAGAAGACTCTAGCCACTCGTGCTTCGTCTAAAGGTTTAATTCAAGCATGCATGTCATATTTTTGCAGATCAGAAAACGGTGTAGGCGACCGAACATCATCAAACACACTGGTTGTAGATTTGGGGGTATCTTCTTGCACCGCCTGTAGCCAGGTAAATCCATGTGTAGGCAGCGTTGACTTGGGAGTTGTCTGCACCGCGGAACGTTTTGAACCATGGCGTTTCGACTTCAAAAGCTCGGCCCGGGTGATCAACGCCACTAGATCCAGGCATGCATCGCACAAAGTTGCTCTGGCGCTAGTTTTTCAACGGGGATCACAGCGCATCCGCTGCTCTGCACAAGTGGCGGAGGCGACAGGCGGAATGCTTTATAATAACTATTCACCAGTCAGTCTTTGCTCTGGGCCTTTGATCCCTCCGTCTCCCCGGCCGTGCTGTGGTTGTCACGGGACTTCCCATGGCTTGTTACCTGGATCCCCAAGGCATTCAATCATGTTCAGTCCACAGGATCGTGATTCATAGTACATCATGACTCCAGCTCAGATGTGTTTGATAGCAGAGATCAAGCCAGCCTTTGTTGGTAGATGACGCGCGCTTGATGCACCAGACGCCCGCCCAGTCGGTCAGGAAGCCCGATTGCAATGAAGATACTCTGATGTCGTTGCTAGGATTCTGGATGATGGATCCAGGGTCCAGCAAAGCTTGAGGCTGACTGGAACGGGGCACCAGACAGAAATCTCGAAGACTTAATGGTCTCACACCGCGTACAAAAGGAGTCGAGTTGATTTCGTGATGTTCCTTTTCGAGCCGTATCTTTGCATGTACCTTGTCAGAAGCTCGGCAGGCTCCAACACTTCCCGTCGCTGCCCCTGGCGCTGCCACTGGCTTCTGGCCCGAGGGGTGAGGGAATCAAACACCCCTTCTATGGAAGCTATGATACCGGCTTCAGGGTGACACCCCGACCTGGCGTCCGAATAGGTGAGGGACTTCTCAGCTTGTGCATCCGGATTCCGTATACCAGCTCTAATGCAATATGCAGCGCAGGCGAAGTGAGGCATTCCAGCCAGCACAGAAGTGCTGTCTGCACGCCCGTCATGCATGCCACAGCAAGCACATCGGTCCAGCCCGGAGAACACGCTGATTTCACCTGCCATTTCGAGCTTGTCGCCTGGCATCTCAGCTCCCAGGCCTCAGACCTTACACCTCATGTCCAAATCCTCTTGCCTTCAACCTCGGAAACCCAAATCAGCCCATGTTAGGGCAAGTTAATGCGCTTCAAGCTACAGTTTCTGTAGGGGGCTCGCATCCATGACAATTGCACGACGAGTGGAATCGCTTTCGGACTATCTTGTTCTTGAATGTTCTTGAGATGTTGGCCTCATGTCCCCTTCTACAGTACTTCAGTCTACAAGACTCCTGCGCCTACCGGAGCTTTCTGACCAGTCGGTGCCAAGGGCTTAGGCCTTAAACACGGGGTTGGAAAGGACTGGCAGTTGCAGCGCGTGCATCAGCGGTGCTGCGCCGTGCCAGGTAGAGCAAGGGTTAGCGGGTAGCGATTGTGCGATTCGTGGTCTGCGAAGAGGATGTGCGTGGCCAGGAACACTGGAAGATACCTCAACGTCAATGACGGTGTTGCGGGCTGCTGCGAGCTTTGCAGCCAGAAGCCCTGAAGTTTCAAGACTGAGTCTGGTGTCAAGTCTTGTCTGAGTCTGAGGCCTGGACCGGGACCTGACAATCCATCATCTCATCCCAAAGGTGCATTGGAAGCATGGAGCCTACGGGGCCTGCCTCCAACCTCTTGTGAAGATGCTGGACCCACGCTTTCTTTCTGTGTTTCAGCGAGGCGGATGAAGAAGCGACGACAAGTCTCCGGTAAGGACGAGTAGCAGCCTCACGTTGAAGTGGTTGGCCGACAAGTGCAGTGACATGGCGGCTCTGTTTGTGCTGACGAGGCCGCCGACAGCTATTCTGTGCAGGCGGCAACGGTGTCTCATGAGTTGCGACAAAGATCGGTTCGGTTTGCCGATGCAGGACTTGCCACAGCAAAGTACACCGCACCTTCACGCACAGCGAGCTGGGGCGCAACTACAACACTGTCGAGGCCTCCAAGCTGAGACGTGTGCGCAAGTGTTCGATGAGCAGCCTTCCCCAGCCTCGACTCAAATTGTCAAAAGGTTCACTGTGCAAAGCCTATCTCATTGTTCTTGGCACATAGCTAGCTCTTTGTCGGGTCTATGCAGTCCCATCTTTCGAGCTTGCTAGGAGTGGCAGTGACCCTTGAGACAAGCCACTGCGACTCGATTCGAAGGCACTCGAAGAGGCTCCAGACTTGCAAGAATACCTGGAGCCGATGCCTTGACATCCGTCAAATTCTTATGTTTCTACCAATGTGGGGTGAACTCCTCGAATGTGCGCTTTGTGGCATGTTGCTGGTGCTCAGACTGGGTGCACGTGATTTTAGAGGCTTGTGCGGCCAATCTGCGTTGGTGGCAAGAACAGAATGGGAAGAATCGAACGTCCACGTTGGAAGTCGGGGTAGCGGTGTAGTGCAATATAGTGCAATGCATGCTCGCAGTTGTCCGGAGGCCTTCATGTCAGAAAGGCACGACTGTCCGACTGCGACCAACATGGCATCGGCACATGTCAACACATCCAGTCTCGACAACATACTGTCTCTGGACAACCATCTTGGTGCGGTGTGGAGTGCCTCTCGCTCGTTTCAGCAGTGTTGCTCCGAGACCCTTTGACATTGTGCATGACATTTAGCCGGCCATGCAACCGCAGAGATTGAGCGGATTTGAACTCCAAGCATGCTTGGGACACAGCGAAGCTGGATATACTTCGTGATATCTGCGTAGCAGTCCTCAATGAGGTCTCGTCGACCCTGGGGCCATGCCCAAGCTGCAGGCACTGCTTGGAGTGCGCGAGGTGTAAAGGCTGTGTTTCCTGCCAACGTTCTTCCCGAAGTGCTGCAGGCAGCAAGACGAGTGACTTCTAACGTGGGGATCTTCGATGACCAGGTTCCTTCCAGTGCGCCCCGAGTGCCTTCGACGTGGAAGGAGCAGCCGGTTTCGCTTCTCCCGTCCGCAGGTACCGGCCAGCCGCAAGTTGACCTCGGAGGTGCAGAAGAATTGACTGTCGCAGCAACATCATATGTCAAGCATGCTGAGCATTTTGGAGGCTTGCTCTCCGTCTCGAAGGCCGTCATGCTGGTGAGCCCTGTGATCTGCCTTTGCGAGTTTCAGCGTGCCAGTTTCGAGGTTTCATGAAGCGATTGCGGCCGGACGAATAGTATCGAATAGTTGTGCGGGCCATTGCATAGACTCGCCACGCACCAGTCATTCCAGCTCCGGAGCTCTTGACCTGTTGAGACGACATGTACAGATATTGGACAAGCTAATGCAGCTACTTACGCCGACTATCAGAAACGGTGCCACCAATCGGTGAGTTTTCGCACTCTCATCTCGCCGGAGTCTGAAACTCCCGCAGGTATGGCCACGAATACAGCGTCCTGAGAGTGAAGGCTTCCCCTTGGTCCCGGCATCAGGAGGGCTTCCAAGAAGTCGATGCTTACCATTTGCGACAATTCTGCCTGCGTTCCTGCAGCGTCAAAGTTTCCGAGCTTTGCCCAGGCAGCTCTGCCGTAGCCAGGAGATGGCACTGACCAGACAGGGTCGCTCGCACACTGACATGGGCTGGAAGACAAGCGTTAAGAATGTTAAGACATTTCTGGTGAGGCTGGCAGTAGGTCTTCTGTACCTGGCCGTACCTCCGCCTGCGCCTTCTTGGGCTTGTGACCTCCAAGCATCCTCAGCGTTTGTTCAAAGGGGGGACGCCCGCCCAAGCGCCCGAGCATGGCGGAGTCCACCCACGATCACCTCTTCAAGCTGCTCATCATCGGCGACTCGGGAGTTGGGAAGTCCTCCATCCTGCTCCGGTTCTGTGGCTTGGCTCGGCACTGGCTCGGTTACACCCGTTGTCTAGTCTTTATGCTCCCTAAAGCTCCTGCAGGCGACGATGAGTTCAACGAGAAGCAGGCGTCCACCATTGGCCTGCGCCCTGGTTTGTGCTGCCGCGTCCCAGTCAGTCGAAGAATGGGCGTGGCTGAGTAGTCTGCAGCCCTCACCAGAAGGAACTTGACTGAGGCGTCGATTTCAAGACCAAGTTCTTACAAGTCAGGGGCAAGAAGCTCAAGCTTGCACTTTGGGTCGCGACCTTAGCACGCTGATTTGCAGAAGGACGGGGTGGGGTCATGGAAGCCAAGGACACTGCAGGGCAGGAGCGCTTCCGAACCCTCACTTCCTCGTGCCACTGGCCTTGCCTTGAAAGTTTGCCAGCCTCTTTACGAACTTTGCGATGAACCATGCTGGGACCGGCAGGTACTATCGAGGAGCCCAGGGAATCATCCTTTGCACTTCGGTCGAAGAAAAGAGGAAGAGGAGAAGACTCGTCTTATGGAAAGACACTTTTGACCCAGGCTACGACTGCACCCAACGGAGCAGTTTCGAGCACGTGAAGTTCTGGCAGGACGAGGTCAGGAAGTGCATCGGCTCGGCAAGAGGAAACGAAATCGAGGAATCTTCTTGCCTGTTGCCCGCGCCAGCTCAGGTACTCCACCAACCAGGATGCTATCTTGATGCTCGTCTCCAACAAGGCCGGAGTGAGAAAAGCCGAGTCTATTCCTGCTGCCCAGTGACAGGTCGACCTGGCTGACCAGCAGGTAACCCGAACTGAGGGCGAGGACTCGGGCCTCCAAGGGCGCTCACAGAATGGAAACTCTGCATGTGACTGGTATTGACTGGTGCCTACATGACATGCTGATTCTGCGAGTGCAGGAGTTCGCATTTGCCAACTCGATGATGTTCATTGAGACTAGCGCTAAAACCAGGCCAGAGCAGATTCATGTTCAGCTACAGATCTTCGAGCTTGTGCTGCGAGTCGATTTCGAATCGTTTTTTGGCTGGAGCCGCGCAGAAGCAAAGGGCGGCAGCATAGCTGTTCATGCAATAGCATGCTGCAAGGCAAGTTCTTTGGTTTACAGACACAAGAAAAACATTCGTTTCATGCTGGCTCGACGGACACTGGTGAGTGCAATGGCCACAGCCTCTTGGCCGAAGACTTCGACTTACACGGCAGAGTCGATAGATGTTTGGGGACAGAGGCCGTCCATGTCCGCGCGTCAAGCTTCTATCACGCTCTGTTGGGGACATAGAGCTTGGCTCTTCTTCCATGTCTCCCGTGCCCCACATTCCTCAGCTGAACGTTTCTGTTCTTCCAGAATCAGGTCCTTGCGTTCTTGACGAAGCCTCCGGCCATCTGCCCTCGCGTGTTCCCCGCTGTCCGTCGTTTCGGAGGCTCAGGGGCTCCTGGGTCTGGGCAAAAAAAAGGGATCCCCGGACTCACTGCGGCCGCAGGAAAGTCTGCGGAAACGGCCCCTGCAGTCTTCCTGGTACGCCACGGAGAGTCCACCTGGAACCTTGCGGCCAAACGACTGGACCTCTGGACGATGTTCCGCCAGGCGCCCGCCACAGTCCGACAGTACTCGTCCCAAGTCAAGCTGTCGGAGCCGAGGTGGACCATGCCTTGACCACCGAGGGTGTCGAACAGGACGATGCACCAAGCATTGAGACATGCAAAACCTCCTTTCTGTACCTACAAAGGGGCTCCATGTCCGACTTCCTGTTTTGACTGCTCCAGAAATTCGAAGTAGGAACGGCGCATGCCAGCAAAAGTACCGCCTTCTTCACGCAAGTACTGGACTCAATCCTCAGATGTCCACCGCACATTCATCGTGTTCGACCTGTGAGAAACGAACATAGGCTCGAGCGAAATTCCAGTGCATGTGGTTCTGGGTGTCCCAAAAATGCAGTCGCAGGCATCCAGGCTGAGGTCCTCAACATTGACGGCCCGGCGTAATGGAGACCTCGATGCAGCCGGAGCCTCAGAGGGAGACTTATTCTTCATGGCTTTGCTTTAGTCGCATGTGTGGTTGCCTGGGTTGAAATTCTTGACCTCGTGATGTCAGGAGGGCTCTCGCATGTGCTAATGCTCCCGATTTGTTGTTACACATGCCTCGTTTCTTCGGCACTTGTGTGAGACTTTAGTTTCACACGGAGTATTCAGTGGCAGTCCAATGCAGTCCAACTTGCAGCGGCACTAAGTTTGCTCTATGTTCGCTCATGAGTACTCCCTGCATATTGCAAGCATAACAGCCGACGCAACCGGCTGCCCAAGGAGCAGTTTCTGTCCCCGCAAAGCCTGGTCTTTGCGTCGCCACTGTCCCGTGCTGTGGCCACGAGCATCGTGGCGCTGGGCTTGGAGAGGACTCTTCGCGCTGTGATTGCAGAGTGCTGCTGGCGATACGACAGCCCACAAAGTATTATGCGTTCGGGTGTTGGTGCAACATTCCCGGTGTCTGTGTCCGACATCGACAGCTTTCAGGAAGTTGCACAAGGTGTTTGAGGGATGAACAACAATGCAGGCATCAAACAGGCCGCAGCCAACCCCTCCAGGAAGGAGTCGCTGACAAATGATGATTCAGCAGCATTTTATGCCAAATACGAAGGTGCTTGTTCATCGTCTCATGAGCGCTTGAAGGCAGCTGCACCGGACGACATGTGCTGAATCGGCAGGAAGATCACTCTTTTGCCGGACGCGAGGGAGCTGGCCTACCCGTGGTGCGGGCCGGATTCCATCGGAGCAGCTACTGGAAGCGACATCGCCGAAAGGGCACTTCAAGATCTTTCTAAGGCACGCGATGAAGGACCAAAGCTGCACATTCCGACTGATCCTATGTAAGCCCCAGCTCCTTGCTACTGCTAGCTCCTTCGAGACCTGTCGGCCGTTGGCACGGTTGCAGCAGGTGGATTCTGCATATTGCCAACCACCGATGGCCGAATCTCGGCTGGCAGTGATGAGACCGAGACCCTTTCTTGCATTGCGGAATCGCAGATTGAGCAGTTGAAGACAAAAATTTGTGTCGTGCGCTGAAGACGAGGAGGCAGCAGCGAAGATGATTGACGCATCGGCAGCCACCGGCATTTGGTGGAGCCGCTTCCGGGAGTCCAAGGGCCAGATGCAGCAGAGGTCGGGGCCAAAATTGCTTGACCTTGCTGCCGGTGCCATTCAGCGCGCAGGCTTCAAAACTTGTTGAGCAGACTTCGGCCTGCGACTGGGACATGAAACTGAAGCAAAGCTGTGTGGTGATGTCAGCTGCTGTACAACTTAGGCCGACAGTCCTTCACCGGCCAGTGTGTTGGTGTGCCACAGCTTGTTGATCCAGCGTCTTTTCAAAGACTTTGCATCACCGCGGATGGAGGTGGATCCAGCCTCAGCAATCAAGTTTCAGAGTTGCGCTATCTGTCTTTACCCGCACCGTGGTGCACCTGTTTAAGCAGCGACGGAGCACGAGCCCAGGACATGCCAGAATTACTCTCCCAGCTGCGGGCAAGGAAACTGCAGAACTGTGGTACCTTCGTCACCATTGAAGTCGGGTCCTAGCGACAGGAGGAATGCAAGGTATTAGCACAACTGTGTTTGAGCATCTCCGCTGGTGCCAGCAGGCGTGGTGAAAGTCCTGCTCGACGACAACAGATTAATAAGCGGTGCCCAGCTCATGTTCGGCACCAAGCTCGTGTAGCTCAAGTTGCAAAACCTGAAGCACGTCTTGGGCGGAGTCGCTCCCATCTGGCACAATTACGTGACATGTCACAGCTGGTATTCGCTGGTGCTCTGCACCGTCATGCTGAAGTGCCAAGACAAGCAGCTTCAAGGACTCGCGCAGGGACTGCAAGCGGCCTCAGACTTCCGAAGTGCTTCGGTGCTTACAGCCTCTGGCATCAGCTAGAAACGCTCTGCGAGAAACGGGTCGAAGGGATGGTTCTGCTACCGTGATGCGTCTCCGGCAGCGACGTTGGGCCTTGCACCCCTGGATCTGCAATGGCAGCGGCTGCAGCAGCTGTGCAAAAAGCCTTCTGACTCGGTGCGTTTCTGCATGTCTTGGCCATCCGCTTCTGCTGTGATTCACACGGTTGGGACTTGCAGGACTGCAGTTTTGCTGCTAGAGCTTTCAATTCAGCATGAGCTGCTGTACCGGCGAGCGTGCGCCTTGCCATCTGCTTCGGTTCTGTCGCAGGCAAGGCATCAAAACTGCTTTTGAAGAAGTGGTCTTCAAAATCCTGGACACACCATCGCTCTTGCAGAGCAGCTTTGCTGCCTTCAGGGTGCAGCGTTTGGAGTGCCACACTGCTGAGCATCACAGATCGGCACAGCCGGCAGCAGAACGGTTGATGTTGCCGATTGCCGAGAAGCATAGCGCAGTGTATGCTATTCAGGGGTCGCGGGAAGATGCTTTCGCCGGCTTGGCCCAGGCACACAGCCCCTGGGGACTCGCCAGGTGGATGCGCAGAGCCAGCGCCAGGCCGCAGGGGCTTGGCTGCCGTCCAGCATAGGCGCTCTGAAGCTTGGAGGCGTAGAGTCCCAGCTCCCCAGAAGACATGGTGCGCTCCAGCTAGCAACACAGTTCTCCGTAAGACTGGGCAGGCGTCGCAAGAAGGATGTGCCTGCTGATGTCTTCCACCGGAAGGTCCAGGCAGCCGAACTAAAAAGAAAACACGCCAACTCCATACCCGACGACTTCTACTGCGCCCAGAGCAGTGGGGATCAGCCGCCGTGTAATTAGCCCTTGCTTTATCTGTAACGGTAGGTCCATGGGCATAGCAGCTGCAAGCACCTTGTGCCTTACTTGTGGACCTTCCATCAGCCGTAGCGTAGGGCCGAAGATCGCTTGCGTGGCCATGGTGCCTTTGAGCATTTGCAGTCGCATCCTTCAAAGCAATCTTAATCTCCTTACACAAGCTTGTACATGTTCGGCTGGATCTGCCACTACGAAGCGAAGGAATGCACAGGCACCACGGCTTTTTTGCCGCCACCCGAAATTGCCAGCTGCGCAAAGGGTGGCAGGGTGGCCGAAGAGCCGCGTTCCATAGTCTCACCATTAGGGCGCTGCACTTTAGATCGGAGGCGACAGCCACTGCAGATCCCACCACGAATTTTGACTGTAAGACTTCGATCCGAAGCCTCAAAGCGCTTGCCGCTCCAGGCGCTCAAAAGCAGCCGTGTGCCCGCTCACTCGGTACAGCCCTCGTTAGCGACCACAGTGCTGCGAGCATGCACCAAAAAAAAGAGTTCCACGGCCCGCGTCTCACTCCCTTTGAATACGGAGCGCACGCAGCGAGCAACGGCTTTTGCTGACCATTTCGCTTGCTTTGCCGCTGCACATGTAAATTTGAGATGGAAGATACATGCCCAGCATAAAGCCGGTGAGACTGCTCATTGAAAAACAAGGCACGTGTGCAATGAGTTGTTCAACGTCGTTGGCTTACCGTGCCCAAGTGTTTTGATTGCACGGATCTCGGGAAAGATGCCACGCCGCCATGGCACACACACGGAAAGGGACACTGGTTGCCGTGCTGGCCTGTATTTCAGGACTTCGGCGGTCGCAGAACTAGTTGTCATAGACGATGTGCGGAAGTTTACTTGCAGGAGTCGCGTCAGAACGAGCGGCAGTTATTTCCCTGGCCACAAACGACTACTACGCCAGGTCCTGAGTTGTTCAGCATCAGTGCCTGTGCTTCTAGACGCTTTTCTGGAAGCGTAAGAAGAGGCAGACGTAGACGGTGCTTAGAAGATCCGAAAGAAATGGGGCCCGCTTGGTTGCATCGCATCGCCAAGGCTAAGGGAGCACTGGTGGCACTACATTCTGCAAAGCTTCACGCAGGAATCGGAAAAGGGAAGGACGACGGCTCAGCAGAGCTCAGAGCACCTCAGAGCCCTGGAGGCGGCTTGGCGATCGACCGGCTGCTGATGGTCCCCGAGCGGTCTCAGCTCAGCGACACCTGGCGCCGGCGCTTCGTCGCTCTGGGAATCAAGGCCAAAACGCTGTCTGAGAGGGGATGGAGACACTGAGACACTCTGTGTTTGAGTATATTTGTTTGCCGTCTCTGTTGCGCAACGTATAGCGCAGGTCGTCAACGTGCCTGCGGTGGTCCCCAGCAACGCACTGTTGACAGCAATGGCCTCCGAGCGCGCGGAGCTGGAAAAGCGACCTGGACCATGCTTCATGGGGCTTGTGGCTTTCAGGGTTTGTTTAGCTCTTGCTTGCTGACAACACATGCCTAGGCAGGGCCTTCTGGACATACTCCAACCCCTTTCTTACGGCGGCGCCTTTGCCAAGGCTTGAGAAGGGGGCCTTGAAACTATGCACACACTGATGGCATTTTGCTGCCTGCATCTGCCTGCGACTGCCTGGCATGATGACATGATTCACTATGTGATAAGACGCGTAAATCCTCCACACCGGCGGGATTAGCTTGTTCCAGAACGGCCTTGCGGTATTTCGGCAAAGCCCACGTACGCGTCCACAGTGGTATGATGCCCCGGACACGAGACTGTATGCGCACGGCATAGCTCAAGTCACGAGCGAAGCGTAGACCTGACCTGCATACTTACTCTGCACGCGGATGCGAAGCCTGGCAGCAGTTCATCTAGGTCAGTTTGTTCGGTCGGACCGGTTGACAAGGTGCATGCCTGGGACGAGCAGCTGGGCTATGAGCAACTTGGAGCTCTCAAAGAAACACAGACAGAATTGCTTGGAGTCAAAGACTAGGTAAGTGTTGACGCGTGCACGTGATGGGACAGCAATGCTGTACGCAGCGTGCATCCTGCTTTCCTGGCTAAACTTCGCGTAAACCGAACGTACCGGAGTAGCATCTGAATGAGTCTGACTCGACTCTGGCGCGCATGGTGAGCGGATTCGTGTCTAGGAAAGTGATCCTGCTGGATGGCGACGTTCTGATCAAGGGGGATCTGCTTGGCCTCTTGAAGCTTAGCAGCTTAGACATCTTAAGCTCTGAGCCCTTCACAGAAATTGCCTCTCCCTGTGTGCTCCCGTTCTCAGACACCAGACAGTATTTGGTACTGTTCGTGAAGCAGCAGCCCTTCTCTCTGACTCTCTCTGAGACCCCTCTCCCTCTCCCAGCCGCCGTCCTCCCCACTGTGTGCGAGGCAGCAGCAGCCTATCAGCGCCTCGAAGGAGCCTCCACCAGCCACGCCTGCAAGTGCTTGGATTACGGCCGCATGATGTGTTTTTAATTACCCCATCACCCCTAGTGCTGTCACCCTAACCCAAGCAGAAGCTATCCAGCAGGACTTGGCAGATGCCTTCAACTACGGTGTCGTCGTGCTGAAGCCTGATGCCACAATCCACAGAGACCTGGTTCGTTTGCTCGTGGAGGCCACCGAGGAGGACTTGCATCGATACAACACAAGGAGCCATGGCGTTTGCTGGTGTTTACCTTATCTGCTCTTGGACAGTCTGCATATGCGAACAGTTTGCAAGGACAGCAAAGGCAGCAGGACTCTGTGACCAGACGTTGGTGGCTGGGAAACTTTACTTCCAAAAGTTTGTTTGGCAAGCCCATGGCCGTGTAGTGCTCTTGACACATCAGCGATCTCGACTGTCCAGTGTGTCCAAGGCGATTAGCAGAGCTGTACAAGATCAATTTCTTCGAGGCACCTTGAGCCACAGCAGTGGGACGTGGTTCGAATCCGCAAGATGGAAGGACATGCGAAAGTCATCGCGGCAAAATCCACAAAAATGGCTGATGTCTACCGAGTACAACCTTGTCGTCTCGTACCGGGCCAAAGAGCGTTGCGACCTGCCCGGCGAACGGAAGAGGGTTCACAAGGCACCTTCGCTCGCGTGCTCGCCTACATCTACATCAGTTTGCGCACCACAGCGGCCCAGCTTGAGCTTGGAACGAAGGCTAGAATCATCCACTTCGCGAACAACTGGCTGAATTTCGAGACCTTGGCAAAGGAACGCACGGATCGCCTTTGCTCTGCACAGTGAGTCCACTAGGTTGTAGAGTGCAGGCATACCCATGTCAATATGGTATACTTCGTTTCGCCATCTTTTTGCCTCGGCCAGACAGGACCGGGACTCACCCGGGCGCATTGACTCGCCACGCTGCTATAAGGACTGTGGCAGTTCTGCTACTCCAGAGCTTCCCTGAGCTTCCCTGAGACTGCAGGCGGCATTCCACTACTGGCACGATGTGTACAACCACGCTTTGTCAGACAGGACCCTCATTTGACCTTCATTGTGACATATGAACCACCGTCAGTTCAGCTCCAGGAGCACAGATCCTCCGCCAGCATACACGCCGTTGGACTTTGAATCAGACGATGGGCTTGCGAGACTGGCTTGCAGAGCTCTGTGGATAATGTGCTGGTACGAACTCTGATGATCCCAAGTCTTATCTTCATCTCAGGACACCGGATGAAGTTCAGGCCGTTTTCCTAGACTTCCAATCCCGAAGCCGCAAGTTCGAGAAAGGCCCAGGCTGCCTGGCTTGGATCGGACAGAGCGGCTGCTTCGGCTACGACTCGAAGGCAGTCCTGCGCGCTGTGCCGAGGCGAGATGGTGCTGGAGCTCTAGTCCGAAGAGCCAAAGGGAAAAAGCACAGTACCAGCATTTGATCGCTCTGTTTGTTTGTTTGTTGTTGTTGCTGTTGCTGTTGCTGTTGCTGTACGCCTCTCGGTTCAGGCGAGGTCAGGCGTAGTACAGTCAGCCTTTTTCCTCGTCCGCTATGGCATCAGCCACAGCCTGAGTTGTCCGGTCCCAAGTCCGGGAGGGAGCACTTTGAAGTTGCAGCTTCTGTGAATCTCCCAGAGGTGAGGGTTGTCGGTTTGCGCAGCCGGAGGAGCTGAGTTCAATATGGGCTGAGCGAAGCAGGATGGTGATCTGACCCACGAAAGTCTGCCTGTTCCAAAAGGAAAAGGCAAGCGCGCAACATACAAGGGCAAGACTTTTACATTGGCGGAACTTGGAGGTACTCCGGCTCTGCCTAAGCAGAAATCTAGCCCACACGAAATACAAGTTGAAAGTGGGATTTCAAGAGGATAAAGGAATCGAATATTTGTCGTGGAACGCTGGGTCTTTGACAACAGTGGTTTGGGAAGAGTTGCTCTCCCTGCTGCAAACCCCGGCCTACTCAGAATTAAAGATCGTGTCTATTAAAGAGACGCATCGGAGGGGTAGCTGGCAATTAGGGTGCCTGGCACATCACTGGCTCAGGACCCCACAATGAGAAGGGAGCCGTGAGTCCTGGCAATGGTTCACAGCTCTCTCTGTAACTCCAAGGATCTTCGATTCAATGAAGTCATCCCTGGAGGCTTCTACATATGCGAGTCCCCGGCAAGGACTGTTACTTGGATGCATTCCTTACTACCAGTTCGTTTAGCATTCCAAGGAACCTATCGCATCCAATAAGGAGAAGAAAGCAGGAACACTTGAAGCCTTAGGCCTTAGGCTGCTCCCGCAGCAACATTCCCAGACACCAGCTGACGGCCGCCAGACCTTGCATTGTCGATATAACCCATACGCTCTCAGCACAAATCCAACACTTCCAGCAAAACTCAGAACTGCTCGCATTCATGAATTCTCAGATAAAGTCCTTGATAAAGATGACCCATTCACACTCGGCAATTCTTTGATCAGTTCTGCTTCTGCAGCAAACTTTCCGCATCAGAATTCTGACAGTGGCCTTTTCCACAGCAACACGAGTAATTGTGACCTATTGGGGTTGTGCACCACAGCTAGGCAATGGTAGTACTTCAGATGACAGACTGTGGTGGCAGGCAGGAGGCAGTACAACTAGAAATCGGGCGCTGGGAACTAAGTGAGAAGAGGCAGTCGCCGAAGGCTCACCCAGCTGGCATTGTGCCTTCGTCACTGCCTGAAAACCAAATTTGGGCCAACTGCTGTTGGCACTCTGCCTTTGGCACTCTTCCATGGCACTCTGCCTTTGGCTTTGGCACTCTGCCTTTCAGAGATGCTGGGCTGCCTCCGCAGCAGTTGAAACAACAGCATGGACCACTCCAGCAGGAGGCCACTCTTGTTCGAACTCGTTGCCATCGTTCTCATCTTCAACCGTGTCATCCACGAAGGCATTCCTATCATGGGGGTCCTCAACGAACCGAACAAGACACATCTTAAAGAAAAGCTCCCCATTCTCAGAAATCGGTCCGTTCCAGAATTCACAGGTCGCTCTGGCCCACCCCTCTGGCAAGGCAACCATTCGTTCTCGGTCATGCTTTCGAGCCCAGCAGCGGTCAGCTCCAGCTTGATGTAAATTGGCGGTGTTTGTGCATTGATCCTGAGCTCATGGCTTGGAAGTTAAGGCGAAACAACAGTTGAAGTTGCTACTTGATGATCCTATTAAGATCCATACAATGTCAAAGCATCAAAGCGTGCATAGACTTGAATCTGGGTGGCAGAGAAATGTCCTGGGGATACCGTGTGTAGCGATCGAAAGCCGCTCCTCGGTCCTGATTCAAGGACCAATGCTTGTCCCTGTACCCTATCATAGAAGACGGCCGCAAGAACCTGAAGGGAGACCTTCAGTGAAGCAAGAAGTACTCAAAATCAACACAGCCATGCTAATTTTGAAAATCAACACAGACATGCTAATCTTGAGTTTGCTTATCATTACACAGCCCCCCCGCCTGATCGCAGTCCTGCATGGGGGCGTAGTATGTTTTCACAATTTCGTTCTTCGGCTTTCCCTTCCCCGTGCCCTTGCCCGGCCGTGTCCCACGCCCTTACCAGCGCTGGCACTCTGCCTTTCGCCCGTGCTGGCACCCTGCCTTCCGCTGGGTCCACCCTTCCCGGTGCCTTTGTTTGTTGGATGGTCGCCGTCCAAAGCCTTGGCAATTGTCATAGCCTTTTAAAAATCCACGACAGGGCTCATCGCTAAGGACAACACAAGTAAAGGCAAAAGAACTGCCAGTTTCCACAACCAAGACTGGCATGATCTCACCTTATTTGTTCAACTCAGTAGCTCAGGCAGGTATTTCAAACTAAACTGTGACTTCCAGCTGGCAGCATTGAATCACCTCCAGCCAGCAGTCCAGCCTCAGGTCCAGGACTCTGGCCGTGCCAGTGTCGGGACACATTTCGACGTCATGCACTTAACTTACCTTGTCAATGATCAACGTCTGTAGCTGTGCAGCTCCTCTTGCACTTCCAGGAATGCTTGAATCATATACTCGCGATCCTGGAGGGGAACGTAGAAGGCTCGGTGCTGGATCCACCTGGCAATGGCGCTTTCCATACTTATCGGCGCAAGTGCCATGACCAATGCACAATAATTAAGCGCCACAGGTCCTGTTCATGCCACCATAGCAATGGAGAAGCACCCGAATTGGCCTTCTCTGGCCGCCACGCTTCCGAAAACCTCGAGCATCCTTCATCTTCTCCAGCATTGCAAAAGCTTGGGCTGCTCAGCAGGGAATGACTCATCAGCCACCTGCAACCAATGGCACCCTGCCATGCATCAGTATGCTTCTGGTCTTGCCGATGCCTTCGAAACTCTTTTTCACGGTGCCCTTGAAGCCCTAGCCATTCGAGCCTTTGAAATAGCCCTTGCTGATTGCCTGGCCCTTGCTGGAACGGGCAGAGACACTGCTGAAGCTGCGGTCCTTCGATACCTTATGATTGTTATTCTTTTGGCGGCGATAAGCCCTTGCTGATTGCCTTGCCTTTGCTGCCGTTCTTGCCCGTCATGCCACCTTGGCCCTTGGCATTCTGCCTTTGGAAGGACTCGTCGTCTTCACGGTGCCAGCAAGACAGAATCTGGCTGAAATCTGAAATAAGGCGGCGCCACGTACTCTTGAACTCATTAGTTCTTTGTTCTGCGTCAAAGTCATGGGCATGAGTTTGATCCCAGCCACCATACCGAAGATGTGCAGTACCGAAGCGCCCACATGCCTCCAAACGTTCATATCAGTCCCATGGCTCACATGGCCTTACCCGGAGCTTGCAAAATCGGATTGGACAAACAAGACTGCCACCAAACAGCTGCCACTCGCAATGGTCGTAAATCAAAACATCATCCATGGGCCACGTCCCGACATCTTGCTGGCATGGTTTCGGTGCTGTCTGACCATTCCATGCTTTGCACAGCTTCATGTCCAAAGTTCCGAAATCTTGGACCTGGCATTCTGCCTCTTTGATCCATTGATCCAGTTTTGCAGCCCTTCGGAGCTTATGCAAACCATATGTATATTCGCGAACTTCTCTGTCATAGTTGACACAATTCTATCGAAGTTGTCGCAAGGCTCAGCCTTCACAGGAAGATGGAGGGTGGTTTCGCTTCCCGTACCAGGCTCCGAGCCTCCTGAGCGCAGCCGTCCGAGATCAAGAACAAGGCTTTCACGGAACTCATATGGAATGTTTACACGGACTGCTGGCCAGCGCACGTTTGCTGCCGTCAACCCCGGAGCTCGCCGGAACTCGTTCGTTCGAGGGAAGGGGAGGGGTGTATTTTGCACCGCCTCCCCGACGGTTAGCTGAATATACGCGTCCCTCACAAGATTCGGTGCGGGGCAGGTGCTTACCCAAACCGTTCGTCGAGATCACCTTCCCGGTGCGTGTGAATGAAATGTTGTTGTTGTTGGTGGTGGTGGTGGTGTGCGGTCGTGCGTGGTCAATACGGTTCAGATCATTCTTTGTGCGTGTTTCAGGTGGATGACATGTCAGGCTTGGTATTTGACATGTCGGATGTCAATGTTGACACTGAGACCCGCTGCCGCATTCCGAGAGCTGCCACGGCTTGCAGCTTACATCTATTTCAAAGACAGTTGAAACCTTGACCTGCAAGTTCTCAGGCTCAAAGTTAGTAACTGCTAGTAAAGTACTTCCCCCAAGCGAGCGCATGTTGAAGCTACTGGCCATTCTTTCGGCCACTGGCGATGCCATGTCAATGTGAGAACAAGTCCTGGGCTCCCTGATGCCGCGGCAACGGCCAAAGCCGCCACCGCCGCCCTCCCCCAGCGAGGAGGAGGAGCACAACTGTGCCATGCTGAACTGTGTCAGTTTCAACGCCTCTAAACCTGAGGATTCCGAGGAGCAGCTCTATGAAGAGGCGTTGAAACAAGCTTCACTGCCACGTTTGCCAAAATTGCAACACCTCCTCTTCCCTTCCAGGCCGAGGCGCTTCGGCTCAAGACGCCTTCTCCAGAGCCTGAGGAGCCACCCAGAAAGAAGCGGCGCGAAAAGAACGCGCCAGTGATACCAGGCCAGGCTCCCTGGGGAGGTAATGCAACATGCAAGTTGCGCATATCATGTATAGTCAGGGCCAGGTGCGGCGGTGCCATACAGCTCTTGGCTCTGTCGAACGGAGAAAGATGCACGGTGTGCACAGAACAACGTGCATGTCAATGCATTGCCTTTTTGCTTCAACCTCCTTATCTGCAAGGGTCCCTCTCTGACGTTGCGCGCAGGTAGATCGATCTCACCAGATGTCACCCAGCGGAAGTCCAAGAAGGCGTCGCAACCGTGTTCTATGCGGAAAATGTACAATGTTAGGCCTCATGGAGCATGCCGTCGCTCCACCATTGTCGTCAGACAGCCTCGTAGGAGAAGAAGCGAAAGAAGGAGGCAAAAGAAGGAAAGGAAGGCTCCCTGGTTGTGTTCCGACATTGTCCATTGCATGCTCGTCGCGAAAGAATTCTTGCATCCCATCTTGGAGGCCGCAAGCAAAGATCGCCGTAGACTCAGAGTTTAGAGCCACGGCAGATGCTGAATGTCGGGTTAAGGCCTTAGTTGACCCCATCGCCATGCCTTTCCAGGGACAGACCGCGGCGACGGGAGATGAGTCAGTCGCAAGCCAGCATGCCAGAAACTCAGACGTCAGAGGCTTGGTGGAATGCTTTTCTTCGGGGTGCAAGCCAGAGGCCTTGGCCGTACGCGTGGCCAATGCCCATGCCGCACATGCCCATGCATGCAATGCCGGCGATGGCTGCACCGTCCAAGACCTCCGTGTTCAAACAAGGCAGGGAGGATTTTCGCAAATAAGATTGCCGACAACCAGTTGCCGAACAGGCGCAGCGATGTCGCCGCAGATCACCTCAGCTCCAACCATCCCCACGTTGCACAGCGTGATGACAGGCTGACCGACGAAGGGATGTGCCGTCTGAGGAGGATCACGAGTTCTTCAACCCAGTGCCAGAGCGAAACGCCCTGAATTACAATGCTCCCCCATTCTCAGTCCATCCTCCAGGTGAGGTCCAGCTCTTGACGCCAAAGGGGGCGCTGGTCGCACTCAGCGACGACTCACCTCAGCGAGCCTCAGATTGCATGCAGCGGGAACGCAATCCTCACACTGGTGGACCCCGGTGCTGGTGACGAAGTTGATAATGGTGACATATTTCGTCGTTTTGTCGTAGGTTTAGCTTGGGCAGCAGCAGCACCGCCACCACCACAACCACCACCACCACCACCACCACTGCAGCATTGGGAGTACCTGAAGATACCTGAGTTCGCCGCAACAGCGTGTTGTGCAGCTGCGGGTGCGTCCGAGACCTGAACTCGCAATGCGGCTCGCTTGCGCAAGCAAGACCTGCAGCAGAGCACTTGGGACCTGGTGCTTGCGAGCCTCCGGGCTGCCACTACTGTACTATTCCGGCGCGCCCATGCACAATTCAGTCCGCACGCCAGAGCGGGAGCCGTGTCACTCTGCCGCTCGTTGCCAGAAATCTAACAACCTCGCGAGCGCTTGGCCATTCACGACAAGCCTTGGCTCTTGTGCAACAGCGCATGTCTCGTTGATAAGGCGTGCTTATCACATGATCCTTCGCTCATGCACATAGTTGGCCTGCAGTTGCAATAACACTTATTTGCCAATTCGTCCTTGCGCGTGCATCTATTTCTCAATATCGCGATATGTATAATATCCCGTTTATTGATGCGTGCATCTTGTGCAACAAGCAATCAACTGAGTGCAGCATACCCATAAGTGTTCGTATGGGAGCCGTACTCGTTGCCGTATCCTGAGAAGAGGACCAATCATTCGTGACTCAGGATACGTGGAGGGCCTCTTGCGGCGGCGAAGCGAGGAGCGTCCTGCCATTCTCGGGGCCAAGTTGTACGTCAAGGCTTCCACATTACTGATGCCTGAGATTGAGTCGTTTAATGAAGTTGTAGTACTACTTTACTACTACTGACTACTACTACTACTACTACTACTACTACTACTGCTGCTGCTGCTGCTGCTGCTGAGTGGCACTACTGCTTCTATGAATCAGTCGCAGTAAGAGGAGGTGGGCAGACAGCGGTGAGGAGCGAGTGCGGCCATTTCATGTTCACGAGGTCGTGAGAATCGAGGCTGGCATGGTCATCGTGGACTCACGTGGTGTGGACCAGGATACTGGCAAGGATCAAGATCCGGAGCACGAGCAAGCCGAAGTGGAGGCCTCTTGGCGCATAGCTCTGACAGTCGACATTGTGGCACGCCGGTGTCTCGTGAGACGGCAGCCAGGAATGGATTGACGTCCCGGTGGATCTTGTAGGCCGCATCATTGGAAAAAAGGGGGAGCGAATCCGCCAAATTTGCGATGACACTGGAGCGGTCCGCGTCTCAGTTGTGGTTCGGTTCCGCCAGTCTGGTCTGTAGAAGTGCTAGTCGAGGACCTGCGCTTCGACGGCTCCGCGGAAGCTCAACACGGGCCAGGAGCCAACACCAAAAAGACTACAGGCTCGCAGCAGCTCAGTCAATCATCTCGTTCTATGGTTCATGTACAGCGCGAGCTTTCGAGTCGAGGGCCTTCGTCTTGTCGGATCTTCCATGGTTTTTTTTTGCTTGTGGCACGTGACATAAGCAGATATAAGCAGGCGGTGCTGGAGACGACATGCGAAAGTTTCTGGAAGCAGCGCAGGAGGAAGCCCTACAGCTCGAATCGGCCAGAAATGGGGCAGCACAGTAGGAAGCAACCACCGAGAAGCCTCATCCTTGCAGGAGGATGACGAGGATGTGGAAATGCAGGACGATGCTCAGCACAAATACGAAACGGCTGATTTTTTCAGAAGCACCTCTTGTTCGGAGGATGCATTGTGGCCGAACTTCCAGCATGTTCCAGCAATGTTGACGGGTTCGTGCACCTGCGCCCTGTCGACCATGGTGCCGAGGGACAGCAGGAGCCAAAGGGTGGTGATGATCTGCGTGCATTCCTTGAAGAGGCGAAGGCCATGGGGAAGTTTCGCGGCCAAGAGTCTTCAGCGAGGGACTGGGATTCTTCAGGCTGGATCGGCCACCGCCGCTAGCTGCGAGGATGAAAAGCAGGAGGATGAGGACGAGGTGTGCCAGTACGTGATGCTGGGGTGGTGCTGCATCGTAGAAGGGCGGTGCTGTCATGAGGCAGAGGACTTTGCTGAAGATCTCGCCGCATTTCTTCAGGAGGCGGCATATGGGTGAGATACTAGCAGCAAGCTGGTTCCATCTGCTCCACCTGCACACTCACCCTTACAGCCAGCTGACAGAGCGACGCACGATACAAGCACTTTGCTCTCCGGTCGAGGTCAAGAATGACAGTACCGGCTCAACCGATCCGACTCCAAAGGGGCGCAGGCAATGTTTAGTCATTCTAGGCCTCAATTATCCACGAAGGAGTGATGCGTTCTGCAGTCAAGAAATCATGTATCGCGGAACGGACCAAGACCAGACAGTCGGTCGCTACGATGCTTGTGCACCGGCAGCCAAGTAGTGTCTGTCTAATGTCAAGTGTGTTGCGGATACGTACGCTTGTCAGAAACTTTGTGCCGGCCGTGGAGTTCGTGGCATACAGCCTCGAGAATTGGGATGAGCACTTCGGCGGCTTCCGATTCGGCTTTACACGGGGTGCCCAGTGCATGTAAGCGCCAGGCAACATCACCCCACTCAGGATGCTGTACCGCAAGATGGGAGAGGCTGGCGTCACTTTGGTGTACCCAGAAAACCTCACCATCATTGACAAGGAGGCACGGATTTGGGTTCATCACCACATTGCGCTGGAAGCATACCGTCCTGAAGATCGTAACTGTAAAGGTCACTAGCCAAGTCCAGTATCTGCAGAGAGTAAATCTGGATGGAGGCTTGGGCCTGGAATTGTGACAACCGAACTTGATTTTGAGAAAGCGCGCCAGGCTTCTCTGACATATTTTGACATCTAATTCATTAATTGTTCCTGACGCGAACGAAGAAGCTTGGTCGGGGTGGTGAAGCTCGATACAGGATATCCCTGTTGCAGGGGAATGCCGTGGAGATCGCCAAAGGCCTGCGCCATCGCCACTTCCCCATTCGCGTCCGCTACATCCTCACATCTGACACCTACGCACCTGAGAAGGCATGTAGAGTTGCGTGCTGATGTGTGTTCAAGCAGCTGCATAATGTCTCTGATCATGTATCCTACTTGTAGTGGCAGATGACTCGGCGATAGTCTAAGCTGCACCTGGACTGGACCTGGCCACGGAAGTGCGAAGCCTCAGAAAGGAACCACAAAATGTCTTCGCCTTGGTCAGGCTTCGCGGAAGGACGACACCGGGCCTGAGGAGGCTGTGGCTGAAGAACCTGCGGAAGCCGCCGAGGCACCCCGCTTGAAGGTAGTTTAAAGAACGCTGTCTCGTTGTCCGAAGTACGTCCAACAAACACGGAGGCTGAGTCTGCTCTGCATGTTGCTCATGCGGGCAGCACATTTGTGGCAGTGGCCTTTGCGCACATGATGTTTTCACCACACCTGCACCAAGTGGGCCAAGCTTCTGATGCATCGTGTGACGCTTATTCAGCTGAATGCCAGGAAGGTAAAAACAGCAAGGCTGCGGCAAAGCCTTCCACACCCAGGTCCGGGCCAAGAAAGGGATTACTTGGCCTCTTCTTTGTGCGCTATGCTCTGGAAGCGTTTAAGTTTCATGCAGTGCTGCAGCAGAATTGACTTGGGAGGCCTGAAGCCGTCTGCATCACCGGTGCTGCCAACCTGACCAGGATACACCTGGACGAGGCTCGAGTCTCCTTTTGCGGCCTAGCACTGCTTTCCACGGAAATTCGAATGACATAAAGTTAGGGGAGCTCAAACCGGGGCATTGTCAGAGTTAAGGTTGACTTTGGAAGAAGTGTTAGCTGGCAGATGCAGGAGATGTTACTAGAGCCTTCGTAGACCCCGAAAGGTGCTCGAGGCAAAGAGCCTGCCGCAGATGCAGTCGCTGGACGCTCGTCAGCAATGCGCCCTTCTGTTCCCTGTGCAGCAGTTTTTTTCATTCTTGCCTCGAGATTGAGCACTGTCTACAGTCCCCCGAGGAGCATATCAGCAAGTCCAGCGTGGTTTGCGTCTTCAGTTCAGCGACCGATGCCAAAGTGGTATTGGACAGTCTGGAGAAAGGTTTCAGCGACGTACGTCAAGGCCGTTCTTTGACTTGAGGGCTCCTCCCGTAAGTCGGTGTCATCCAGACCGTATTCCAAGATGTCCAAGAGTCTTTCAGGTGCCCAGGAGGGTCCCGGAATTTACCGCGCTCGTCATGGCCATCTGAAGTACAGGATGGCCACAAGCACCGATGTGAAGGCCAAGACGAATCGTTTCAAAGAGGCGCCGAAGAAGGTTTACCAGCGACTTCGCATTAACGGTGTCTCGTCTCATCCAGCCTTTTTTTCTACTCTGAGATGATCTCCGCAATCATCCTGGAGCCTGCCTGATTGCTCAGGCGACGCGAAGGAAGTGAGGCAAGCAAAGAAGATGCTTGGAGGCACTAGCTCGCACAGTCTCGAAGTCTGCCTCACATGCTCATCTTGCCTATCTGTGGAGCTCTCGCATGTTTGAGTTGCTGACAAACCCATGGGCCCGCAGTGGAGTGAATGCTGCAGATGCGGACCCAGGATTGTCCTGGATTTCTTGGATGAGTTTAGTGGGCCTGCACACGGGATGCGCGGCAAGTTTAGCGAAAGGTTCCTTCGAGGCAGCACAAGTGCAGCCTGCACTCTTCAAGAAGCGAGCAGTGCACAGCGAGTTGTCTCACAGCTAGGCCTAGGCCTAGGCCTAGGCTCAGGCTGATTCTTGCTGTGGAGAGGCATCGAGGATGTCGAGGAATCCTTCGAGGTCCCGCAGGGGAAGATCGGCCGACTCATCGGCAAGGCACAATGGCACAAGTCAGCGAAACGGATGCTTTCTTTCCCATTGAGTTCCGAGGGCGGTGAGAACATCAAGAAAATGGAGGAGTCCAGCGGAGCTCGCTTGCGAGCCGCTTGCTTGGTGACGTCGTGTTTTGCTGGCGATGCGAACTGCGAGAAAGCGGTTGCTACGCTTGCGAAACGCATGCAGAGCAACACAAATGCGAGGCAGAAAGGCTGCGCTTTGGTGAGACCACAAAGCCGCGCATCAGGTCCTCCCAGCGGCAGATGAAGGGGAACAGCGGCTCCTGGTCTCTGGTGCGCCGGACAAAGTGGAGAGCCCCGGACCGATGAAGCAGAAAGATTCAGCACCCGGATCCACGAATTAGTCGTCGGGGATACGCGACAGTTTTTCGGCGGTCTACACCGCTGCACGCAGCCCCTGCCCTGAGGAAGGCCAAGGAGCTGCTGAGTTCCTTCATCCCCGCACTGAGCTCGTTCGAGCCTACGGCATCAGGCGAGAGCTTTCATGTTTCGGGAGACATGCAAACAGCTGTTCGATTCTTCCTTTGGGGGATTCGGCTTTGGTCTCAGTGTCTTTGAAATGCGAGTGCACTGGCCACCTGGAATCTCTAGGTGTGCCCGAACGGAGACGCCTCAAGGAGGCTGAGGCAGAGGACACCAGAGCTTGAGGGAGTGTCATCTGAAGGCCTCCAAGTTCACAGAGACTTGAGTTTTGTTGTTCACACACATTCGAGAAAAGCGGCACCAGCTTCCGCAAGACTTTGCAGGAGGCTCCCAGCGAGGGAGACGAACTGCGAGGTCGCCGACACAGGGCGGCGGAGGCCGATGATGGTCAAAACCTTTGGATATAAGCCCGAAGAGTCGCCAAGCTGGCCTTGAAGGCCAGTTCCAGCCAGTTCCCTTGTGCCAAGCAAGTCTTGTGCGACCTACTGTCGTCTCCTGGAACCGTCAAAGTGAAGTTGCGGAGGTCCTTAACATTGAGTCTAGGCCCCAGGCATTGAAATAGGAACTGTGACCGTACATGCAGTCTTAATAGCAATCAAGACTGTGTCGACTGCTGTTGCCATTAGCTGCAGGCTTGATCAGGTGAATGTGCTGGTGTTTGTCTTCACCTCGCCTAAGGGCATGTCCAAGACTTAAGAAGTTTGCCGAGAGGCTCTCGAATCGGCGGGCCGGCGCGGAAACCGTGATGAGGGCCGAAGCGAACGGCCCAAGAGCCGCGACAGTGCCTCGGATCCTTTTGTTTGGAGGGAGGAAATATGGGCCAGGCTATTGCAGTTTTTGGCGGGGTTATGACGCATGAGAAACATGACCCTCGGTACTTTGGCTAAAGGCTAAAGGGAGAGGGCAGGAGCTCATGAGCCTGTCCTTCACCATGAAGTGATGACTAGAACACGCAGTGATGACTAGAACACGTACGCCCTGCAAGCAACCTGAAACCTCGACTCACAGTCATAGGACATGTGCAGCAGGCCGTTTGAAGCACAGGTGCCAAGTCTTTCAAGTCTGATATCTGTGGGCACTAGGGTTAGGTTTAAGTTTGCCTGCTGTCGGGCTGACATACCGCGCTGTGTGCTGCAGGGTTGCGGTGACTTCAATTTCAGCCGGCTGGACAGACCTAAACCCAATGTTTCTAGAAAAGGTCGCCCGCCCGGAGTTTGCATGGTTTGCGTAAGTGAGTCCTTTGCGGATAGAGCCTTCATCTTCGTCCCAGAGGCTCTTATTTTGGGGTGTCCATTTCCTCCGGCCTCCAAGGCTCTACATCCAGCGGCACGCGCGTGAAACGCCTCCGCGAGAAGAAACGCGCCATCAGCCTGCAGGTGCCTCCTCGGAGAAGCTGAGGCAGGTAGGCACTAGTTTTTTCGAAGGCATCGGATACAGTACTAGTAAAGATATCAGATATCAAGGCTCAGACCTGTAGGCACGGCCTAAGTCCTAAAGAGGAATTTGACGATGCAACCGTGCGGGAGGCGGCAAGGGAAACACGAAGATCTGCACAAATGCCAAGCCGCTGAAGCGGATCGAAAGCCTTCCAGAGCAGTCGTGATGGTCATTGCAGGTCGCAGGCTTCAAGCTGTTATCACCCCAAGAGGCAAGCTGGCCCAAAACAGATCCATTTGTTGCTGAGGAGTACCAGGCCATGATGAAAAAGCAGAAGCAGCTGGACGCTGCTGCAGCCCGCGTGCCTTTGGACAAAGCATACACAGGGGGATCTAAAGGGCAGTGCCAAAGCCTTAGTAAGACTCTTCCCGAGTACTTCACAGACTTCGCATCCTGGTAAGCAGCCCCGTGAATCACTGCCGGCAACTTACATTCCGCTAGTCGTCTTCGGATACGAACAGAAACTGTGAGCTAGAGATGGCTTGTTGCGGCATGAGTTCGAGCAACTGCTTGTAGCATGAGGCAAAGCAGCTGGTTTTGAGTGTTGGGAAGGTGCATGCTGGCTTTTGTTTTATGTTTAAAAGTCGATAACCCTCATGTTTCGCTTTTCGTATTTTATGTTGATCGGTTTTGTCGTTGCTGACCCATTTGTTGCGCTGTTTGCGGCCCTTCTTCTTGCTTGCTTCAAGCTGTATCACACTTTGGTCGCATGTTGTTTGTTTTTTGTTGTTGTTTTAATTTGCCTTATTTGAATGCCGTGATTTTTTGTTGGAAAATACTTTTGTTCTGCACAAAAGATAGAAGTAGCTCGGAGCCACGTCACAGGCGTATGCATTGCAGCCGTAGATAGTCAGACCGTGACTGGCAGTTGCGAACAACTTCGGCGAATGGCTTTGCTCAGGCTGAGGAGGCCGCCCAAGCTGCGGCAGCCTTTGCCCGACGTGCGGCAGAGGATTGGGCTTGAGAAGGGGCTGGCAGAGCATACGGCAGCGGTACCAGCAACCCCTTTGAGGCTTACAATTCTGCGTCATGGGTTTTCGTTATCTGCAATGGTGCCGTTGCCGTCAGGAAGAGAAACAGAAGCAGGAGGCAGCGGTCCATTTCTCAGCTGACTTCGAGGAATTGCTGAACGTCTGCGTCCTGCCTTAGTCCGCTTTGAGAGAGCAAGGCCTTGGACAACTACGACTGGGAGGAGGACAGCGCTAGGCCCCTAGGCCGCCACTCCGAGCCCAAGAAGCGAGCAGTCGTAGACAAACTTTTGGGCCAAGAGCGCAAGATGAGACGAGGACTCCCCAAGAAAACTCTCTTGTTGCCAGGAGACGGGTCCTTCTGCCGCCATCGGTCGCTTTGCGCTGACAAGCTTTGGAGCTGGTAAAGTGTGCCTTGGATACAACTTGAGGAGAAGTGCATGCGAAGCTGCAGACCACCTTTTGGCGCCGTGAAGCTAATCAGCAGGTCCGTCTTGCATACCCTGACTATCCGATCATCCCGCACCGCTCCCGGAGCCTTACCTTTCTGCGGTAACGGCGACAACAACACCATCATTGCAGAACACACAGACACTTGGTAGCCAGGCCCCAGCGGTAACATGCGACAACCCTGAATAGCAGCCTTCTGGGGTGATCCCTGTGCCAGGCGGTGCTCGTGCACCGGACATTCTATTCTGCCACAGTTCTATACTATACTATACATTGTCCATCCACGCCGCTCCATGCACCTGCCCTGCCCCTTCTAGCCGGTTCTGACCATCTGAGAACCTTGCATGGAGCACCTCGGGAAAGCAGTAGGGCAATTGAGCAGACAGATGCTTTTGCACTGGAAAGCCCTTGTTGTGCAGATCAAGACATTGCAAAAGCCCCTACCTGTCTGCTGAGCCAACAGACGGTAAGGTCCCGCACCGTCGTCAACCCTGCTGGCCGACGATTCGTCAACTTTCAGCTGTTGGCGGGTGGAGTTGTGCAGGTGCCGCAGGCCTTGGTTTCCGAACCAAACTGCATGAGTGTCACCAGGGCCTGTGTTGTCCGAGAATTCTTGCAAGTGCAATGACAGCTGCCAGCTCAGTGGAGGCCACAGCTCGCCTGTGGCTCGCAGCCGTTGAAGGTGCCCTTGGCGCTAAGGTCTGTCTCCTACATTCTTGCAGCCTATACACCTGCAAGCCAGAAGTGGATTGACCGAAGGTTTCTGCTCCACGGCCGTGGGACGAGCAGATGGATGGGAAAGGACTGCAGGGCGCCCCTGGAGCCTTCCCCGTCGACACGACACGACTGTCAGGAAGGCCACCGCCGCCTGCAGGCGCTTCCTGGGTCATCTCGGAGGCCTCGGCGGAGCTATCGCGAGTTGACCCATCAGAACTCAGTTTTGCCGGAGCATGGCTCGCTTGTTAAACGGTCTTGATCGAAGCTGACCTATTCTTTGTTTGCACACGTGGTGGTCACTTTGCTGAGTGCGGGCCTGAGGTCTTGGTTGGTTCCACATGTATAGCACTGTTTGCGGGACATGGTTGCTTTGCTGATGTCAGCATCATAATTCAGTTGTGATAGTAGACCCGCTATTTAGGGTCTGCGGTGCTGTAGAAATTGTCCGAAACAGAAACATGTCCAAATCCCGCTGCGCACTTCTACCACAAACGTGCCTCAACTCTGGACATACTCTTGCAGCTGGAGCCCGGAGGCAGAAGCGCAAGGACGTCGTTTGGCGTTCCGCCTAGCCTCGCCAGCCGAACTCTTCCCTCGTTACTTGGACTCGGGACGGGGCTTTGGGGTTTGGATAAGGAGACCGGACCTTTGAGCCTGCGTGGTTTCGGAAAGTCAATGGTCACAGAGGAGCCATGAGCAACCGAGATAGGATGCTCGACACGACTGGCAACGTGCGGACAAGCATCATCCAAGGCTTTGTGGATGCCTCACAACTATCGCGCTGGCCGCGGGCAGAGAGCTGCTCAGCTAAAATCAGGAGACGCGAGTTGCCCTTGGTGGGACAATGTTGCTTCGAGGTGTCATCTACTTGGTCGAGCTTTGCACCACGCCTCAGTCAGCCTTAGCCTAAGTCGCTTCATGAACAGCTACAATTGGCGCCTCCCTGTCTACCTGTAGAGTTCCATCAGGTTGGTCATGTCGCTCCATTCCGGCATGACTATCGGAAGTCGGACAAGAGCTTTGCATCTCGTCATGCAAGAGGCTTGAATAGCCACCCGTGCAAAATCTTTGCTGCATGGCTGTGTCGGAATTGTCGAACACTCCCCAGGCGAAGGGTGACACCTTGATTGTTGAAGGCTGCCGCCCAGGACTGCAGGACAGGCCTGGCCAGGCAACATCAATCATGAAAAGCTGTTGGCCGTACCAGCCACTGCAGGATCTGGGTGTCGTGAAGAAGGTGCTGCACGGGGACAAAGGCAGGCTTCCAAGCCTGCACGGGCAGTCGCCTGAAAGCTGCATGCTGAGAGGTGCCAAAGTAGCAGCACTGGTTGCAGCAAAGAAAGATGGTCCAGAGTCTACTGGCAAGAACCTCAGTCGTGTCTGCGCCAGCTGGGATGAGAGCAGCAGGCGGCTTCCTTTCTCAAAACTATGAGTCGTCATCCATGAGATGCACATCACGAAACGGCGGATATGTAGACAGATCAAGAAATACCTCAGAAGTCAAGGTTCCTTTCTGACAAAGTCTCAGTGAATCTTGCATTGCAGTTGTGACACTAGCATGACATTCTGCTGACACCTGTGCTGCAGTGGAAGAGATCGCTGCGACCTAGCGTGTCAGGTACTCTTGGCTTGGCCTTCCAAAGGAGCGGGGCCACGGAGGCAAAGCGACGCGAGGGGCTACCCGGCCAAAAGCGAAGGGGCAACAGACTAGTAGTAGGGATCGGATTTCAAGGATTGGACTTCTGATCGCTGTTGCTGTGGTCTCATACCAGAGCGTTGAGTAGTGATGTCAGCCACGACCAAGGACCAAGGCTCATGCACCGACTTAGGGGCTTCACTGTCAAAGCTGGCGACATTTCTGTCACGAGCCGGCGGCTCCTGCGGCGCATTGTACGGTCCGACCTTTGGTCCTGCACAAGTGTCTACTTTTTGATGAACCGAACTAGCGGGCGTGCTTGCAGACGGAAGCCGAAGCAGTGGTGCTGTTCCAAGCTTTGGACACCTTACTCTTGAAGGCACTGCTGCGATCGAAATCCACAGCTGCCATCTCTGTGTACACATCTCCTCCTGTTGATGTTGCATACTGCTGTTAATCCTCAGTCGCCACCAACAAGAAAGAAGTTCTGCGGTTCTGCTTTAATGCCACGACATGTCCAAAAGACTCATGACTCATGAGTCACAACCATCCTAGGTAGATGGGGCCGTGACAGTCCGCTGATTTGTGAAGACTGTGAACAGACTCGCCCGAGGCTGGCATCGCTGGAGCGCATGGTGCTGCCTTTGCGACGGCCTCGAGACAGTTTGATTCTACATAGCTGGGCGGCGCTGTGTTAGTGGTTCCGAAAATCTCAGGGCTTCGCATTCTTGGTAGTTTCACTGCTGCACCCAGCAACCCTTCGCCAAATATGCAAGCCTATTGCTGCAAAACAGGCTACTGCTTGACTAGAAACGACATGAAACAAATGGGACGGCGCTCTCCTGTAGTGCGTCAATCATCGACATGCAGGCGGAGCGAACATGCAGCATGTTGCATTTCTGTCCCGTGATGCATCCTCGCTTGTCGTCAGAAAGCCTTCCTAAGATTGACAGCGGGAATACTGGCTCTAACCTAGCAGAGTTGGTTGCCGCTCAATATAAGCCTGGCTCGGCATAGGTGAAGAGTGGAAAAGAAGGACAAGAAATCCCGTTCCTTCTAATTTCAGTGTCTTCGAACCCTGGCCTCACAGAGGCCAACGTCTGACTATTCATTCTGGTGTCATGAAAGGTTGGCCGCGCGGCTACCAGCTGGTACGAGAGCCCTCGGCGTCGGTGCGTCGCTGGATGGTCGTCACCCTAGTGCAGCTGGCGAAGCCAGTCTTGATACTGCAGAAAGCTATCGACTTGGGGACCAGCCAGCCTTCCTGCCACTGGAAGCAGAACTCGAGGAACCTTCCTGCGGTTTTTCCTACATCTCGCCGGTCAGTCCGAGCAGGCTGCCTGACCCTGTCATGCAGATGCCGCGCATTCCCTCACTCGGCAGGAGCTGAGTGCGGCTTCTTCTGGAGCTGCCGCAGCTGCCGCTGCAGTGGGTGCCATGCTGGGTTGTCAGACCGAGGCCCGCAAGCGCTTTGTGCTCAGCGGCTCAGCGGCCTGGGACGCGTTGCGTTTCGCAGGTGCTCGCCTCCTCCGGGCCGCTGCCGGAGCCCACGGAGCCGGCTCCGACCGACAAGGAGCGAAAACCTTTCAAGCGCTGCGCAGGCTCTACGTAGCCGCTGCGACGTCTTGACTCGAGAAAAACTCGTTTACAGCAGCCATCGAGGCAACGGTTATGTGCAGGTGAAGCCTGAGTTTGACCTTGTTTCACATTGCGCAGCACTTAGCTTGCCCAAAGCCCTGAAGAGTACTAGAGTTACCAAACGTCGGCACCGAGTAGTTTCATGGGAGTGAAAAGTCAGCTGCATTGGTTGGCATCGGTTTGAACATCATTGAACATCCTACCGAGTTAGTTGTGCTACGGCTTCTTGACTTGACTCATGCAGAGAAGACTCTACTCGTACGGTCTTTCCAGATCTGCAAGAGTTGCTGTCGAAGATCGAATAAAAAAACACAACTTCAGAAAACACACCAAGCGGACATCCGGCAGGGTGCTTCGTCAGCCCCCTGCATTCAAGCCCTGCCAGCCGAGAGCGATATTGTGTTGAGAAGTTGATGCTCCAACCTGTGCATCATGTGAAGGAGCAGCCGGAGCAGAAGAAGAAAGCAAAGCCTGCGAAGGACCTAATATGTGTGGATTGACTTTCGGTAGTCGGACTTTATGACTTGTTGAAGCCGGCAGTCTCGAATCTTTACTGTTGTTCTCCACGAGCGCAGCTGAAGGAGAAGACCAAGACCGGCAGCGCTGCCAAGAAAAGGACGAAGGAGAAGCCCCGTGGTAGCATGCAGCCGCCGTCGGGCACTGTGACTCATAGGTGACGCATGGTTTATGACACGACACCGGCAAGTCCGTTCAGACGCGAAAGCTACATGCTTCTCTGCCCAGTGTGCAGCGCTGGGTCCGCTGCACTGCTTCCTTAAAGCATGCCTTGAAGCTTAGCCAAGGAAAGCTGCAGAGAAAGAGTCGTCCTCCGAAAGTGCAAACCTCAGGGCTCGGACTGAGCCGGCACTGGCTTCTCCATGGAACACAGTAGTCTATGTGCAATGTGCTCTTCAGTGCGTGGATGTACAATGGCGTGACAGGCTCAGAGTCTTCTTCTGACGACTTCCTTCTTGCCATGGCCAAGAGAGGTGGGACGAAGCTGTTTCCAAACCTGCTGCTCTGACATGTGGCTTCGCCTTTGACAGGTGACCGAGCTCTGGCAAGGATAGCACAAGTTGAAGAGAAGCCAACCTGAATAAGTACGCTTCCCGGAGGGCCGTATTCATGAGAATGTGGGGATTTCAATTTTTCGTGTGATACCGTTCTGTTTTGATATATCATAAAGGCTCTAATATAGACTAGACCAGTATAGATATAACATCGAAAGTATATGATATTATATATATATATTAGTGAAATTTCTTTCTGTAAGACTACTGGAATTATTATGGTGAATAATATCCGCCCAAAACTATTTTTTTAATGCTCTTGTTTATTTTTTGGAAGAAATCTTAAATTTAAATAGAAATAGATTTTGATCAAAACAAAATGACAATTTCTTGAAACTTAAAGAAGAAATTTTTCTTTTTATTTATATTAATGGAAATGATATGATAAAATCTGATATTTCTTCGTTTAATTTGTTTCTATCGGATTTCTCGTCAATAATATAAAAAATAGGAGTTCTAATTATTCTATAAATATTCTGGAATTAATTATAGGATGATATTAGATATAGAATCAAAAAAATAAGCATTGGAAATATTCTTTGAGATAAATGCAATCTATTCATATTTAAGAGAAATGAGAAAGATATTCTAGCGAAGATCGATTCTGGTTTGAGACCTTTTTAATTTAGGAAAAATGTTGGTGGAAATGATATGAAGGTTTGAGGGGATTTTTTAAAATGTATAATATAAAAGATAATATATCGAATTCCGAAAATAAAAAAAATTAAAGAAAGAAAGCATTTATTTAGAAGAAATGATTGAAAAATATTTGCGAAATGTTAGAAAATATTCGATTGAATTCTTATACTATTATTTCTAGAATTAATCGATTTTATCTCTTGAAATCTATGTTATCTTTCTATTTTTGTTTTTTATATCTGAAATATAACGAAACAATTTGGTAAAAATTAATGAAATTTTTATAATTCAATTGAAAATAATAATAATTTTGGTCATATCGAATATTTATCGTTATCGAAATCTATGATTTTGATAAATATTTGGAATTAATTTATGTAGAATTTG